TCTGACCATCCAACAAAAGAAATAATGACAAAAGTATGGAACCAGGTAAACAAAGGCAGTATTTTGTTATAAATACATATATAAATACATAGCGGCAGACTGTACTATTCATACCTATGAATGGCAAGTTTCAGTCTTTTCAGAAAGTAATCTGAAACATAGTAAGACCACATTGTGTTAACAATTGAAGCCAGGGAGGGACTTTGTCGTCATACTTCAATCAATACACTAAGCATTCCCCTTAGACTGAATTCTATCACTAATTCTAATATTATAAGTTAGCTACTGTCCCAAATCAAAATTCCAAATATAATTTAGATTCTTTTCCTCTTCCCCCATCTACTCATACACCTAAGTTCAGAATTTTATATTTACTGCCTCTCCTGATTGTATTTATTCCTTTTCTTGTTGCCACTTCCTTAGTTCAATTTCTTCACATTTTATCACAGTAGTGAGGTGAAAATGGAGATGAGGCAAAGTCAGGAATATTTACAAGACAGAATATAGGAGGAGAGTTAGGTTTAAGGGAACAGTGAAGTTTGTACTGAGCATGTTTACTTTGAGCTAGTTTGGAGACTGAAGATATTCTAAGGAAGTGCATGAATGGGTGTGGACAAAGCTCAAAGATAGAAAAACATAAATATATTGGAACCCCTGGACATGGCTGAGATACCCTTTTCCAAATGCCTTTCCAAATTATATCATCCCACAGTGACTTGCCTTTCAATTTTAATAAAAGTATTTGCACATTCTAGGTCTACACTGTATGTTGCCCTTTGTTCAAGCTTCTTGTTCCAGAAATTTCCTAAAACTTCTAACAAATAAGAATCTTTTATATACTTTAGGTCTATGAGTCATATCCAGCAAACAGAAAGTGCTCAAAAGAAAGGATTTGAGCAGGGCTCAGGGGTTCACACCCATAATCTTAGCTCCTCAGGAGGCTAAGATCTGAGGATTGTGGTTCTTAGCTCTTCAGGAGGCTGAGGGGAAGGAAAGTCTGTGAGGTTCTTCAGTAAAAATAAATTAATTAATTTAAAAAAGCTATAGTCCAAGCTACTCAGGAGGCTGAGATCTGAGGATTCCAGTTCAAAGCCAGCCAGGGCAGGAAAGTTTGTGAGACTCTTATCTCCAATAAACCACTCAGAAAGCCTGAAGTGTCATTGTGGCTCAAGTGGTAGAGTGCTAGCCTTGAGCTGAAGAGCTGAGGGACAGTGCCCAGGCCCAGAGTTCAAGCCCTACCACCACCACCCAAAAAAAAAAATCTAGAACTGTAACTCAAGTGGTAGAGTACCAGCCTTGAACAAAAGAAGCTCAGAGACAAGCTGAGGGATAGCATCCAGGAACCACACAAAGAGAGGAGAGAAGTTGGGGTGGGAATAAATTTAATTCCAGTAGCTTTTACAATAACAACAATAGACATCTCCTAGCATAGTGCTGGCATATAAAGGGTGTGGTAAAATATCTATTAAAAGGATTATGATTTATCCACTTTGATCTTTACAAAATTCTTAACATCTCAATTCTGATCAAATCTGACATGCAACTAAAACTTCAAATATGATTATAAATAGGATTACTTATTACACATTTTGTAAGAAGCACAACATTTCACGTTTTATATATAAACCTGGTTTAATGAAGAGCATCTTATCAACAGATCTAATATATCTTCATCTTAGAAGAAATTAATACCTATTCAGCCACATGCTTTTACTAAATATTACCTTTTCTCCTGGCTCACATGTACTTCCCTGGTGATTTTTTTTCCAATGTCCATGCTTCTCTCATGTCTCACAAATGTGCTAGTGCTTCCTTGTCTCTATCTCTTGATTTTTGGGTCAAAGACTTAACTAATGGCACAATAATTATTCACAGAAAATGAAGAGAAGGGAGGAGCTAGTTGGCTCTTGGTGAAAAGCAAAGAGCCAAAAAGCTAGGAAAAAATAAATGCTTTGATTGTGGCCATGGCATTAATAAAATAATGATTTTAAGACCTCCAATCCTTGTGAAGTTCAACATGTGACCCACCGACACTAGGCAACAGAGGTCACACTGGTGAATCAGTGCTACTTTATAATATCACTTACATAAGAACGTACAGAAGTAGAGATCCCAGCTTAGAAAAATTAAATGACATTTGTAAATTATATAAATCCTGTATATGTTTCAGAATCTAACACAAGTTTTATATGAATGTAAGTTGGTACAGTTTCCTGGGAGGAACAATTTAAGGGAATCTATTAAGGCTGAATATAAACCAAGACCATAGTCTTGGTCGAAGGTCCATACCTATGATAAATGAACTTATAAGAACAAAGCATGTACAATAATAGTAGGATACTATGCAGCAATAAGAAAAAAAGAAACTACTGTCTCACACAATAATATTAATGAATCTCACAAATATAATGATAAGTGAAAGAAGCCAGACCAAAAACAATCTATTTTATGAAGTTTAAGAAAAGGCAAACTAACATATAGTAATGTGACTAAGCAGATTTGTGAATAATCATAATTTTACATTATGTATTTCAATATATACCAGTTTCTTTAGGCATATGAAGTAACAGAAACAGAACAAATGTTGATTGTAAAATTGTAAAATATGGTTTGGGTTCAAACTGCAGAGAGCTATGAATGCTGTACTGAATACACTGGATGACAACATGCCATCTATCCACACTTTGCAATTCAGGAGAACAGGGCAATTGCACAATTAACATTAATACAGTAAGTGATTCTGGTTTTTTTCTGATGTGATGTCAACCATCTGGACCTTTGGCAGTGGATTCCTGACTGGCTTCTTCAAGTTGCCCTTTGAACTCTGTTATCTTACTGATAAGAGCTTCTCTTCAGAAAACAGAGGGAGGACAACTTCATATAAAAGTGGTTAAAAACTTTAAGATCCCCATAAGTATCCCTGATCAGGTATGGCTTCATGACTTTAAACTGACGTAGAAGTTGGAGCTGGGAAGGTGGCTCAGTGGGAGAGTACCTGCCTCATGTGCATGAGGCCCTGAGTTCAATTCCTCAGCACCATATAAGCAGAAAAATTTGGAAGTGCCACTGTGGCCCAAGTGGCAGGGTGCTAGCCTTGAGCTGAAGAGCTGAGGGACAGTGCCCAGATCCAGAATTCAGGCCCACGACTGGCCCAAAATAAATAAATAAACAAACAAACAAACAAACTAATTAATTAAACTGATGTAGAAGTACATATATATTACTGTAGATACAAATATTCACACATCTGTTATTAACTCTGTCCACTGAGACAGCCTTGAGCAACATCATGGCAGTAGCAATGATCACATCCAGCACTGACATCTTAGTTTCCAAATACCATTCATCATAAGATACTACGATCCTACCAGAAAATGGTTGATTCCAGACCACCAGCAGGGAGAAAATGAAAATGAGCCTGGAACACAACATTCTTATACCAGAAATGAAGAAGTATAGAAGAATCAGTCAGGGCAACAAAAAGACAAGTGCATAATAAGTCACGTACACTGGTCAAATCTAGGAGAATGAATTAACAAATAATAGAGGAGGAGGAGGAAGAGGAGGAGGAGGAAGAGGAGGAGGAGGAGGAGAGGAGAAACCTAGAAATCACCACCTTAACCAAGTGATCAAGGTTATCCTAGTAAAGGGATGCCAATATCATTTGCTTTACTTTGAGATCCTTGAGAAGACTACAACAATATTCAAACTTGCATAATTTTTCTCACTGCAAAACTCAAATTATGCATATAATGAGAAAAATCAGACACACCCAATTTGATCTAACCATTTTATTTTATGAATTAATCCTATGTGCCAATTGTACTTGATGCACCAATCTACAGATTAACTGGCCTATACTTGTCTTTCATAGGAAGAGACAATTTACTATATGCAAGTATGCAATCTGAGAATATTATTGAGACAACCAACCAGATCTGAATAAGGCCTATAGACTAGTTAATGGTATTATAGTAATGTTAATTTCCTGATACAATCACGTTATGAGTACATAAAAGAATGGACTTATTTCTAGGAAAGATGATGATGTGTCTGTTATAAATGGGCAGGAGGAAGGGGTGATCCAGAAGACAAAGAAAAGGATTAAGCTAATATGGTGGGGTGGTAGCATCTGGGGAATTTGGGTGAAGGGCCATGGGATTATTTTCTGTTCTTGCAACTTTCCTGTATGTCTGATTTATATCAAATTAAAAGAAAAAGTAAAAACTATATATAAAAAGGAAGCAAGTTTGCAGGTTAGATTCCCCAACACCCCTAAAACACTATTATTTTAAAAATTACTTTTTGATTTCATTCTTTCTGTTATTGCTTGAAGAATATTTTAGCTTAATTTTTATTAAATTTCCTAAGACGTTTTATTCAGTACTATGTACATTAAGTTTAATGATCTGGAATGCAGAAGACTGCTAAACCATTTCCTAAAGGATAGCTCTGAAGCATGAGAAATTAACAATTGCTTAGGTAGTTAGTTTTTTACTTACTTTTAAAAACTCACTCTCCCCATATATGGATATTTCACTTGCGGTTTAAAAATCAAGAATATTTATCATATTCTCCCCTTTGCTTCTTCATGGATAGAAAGCAGTAGCTTTCAGTATTTCACAGCAGAAACTGCAATTGATTATATAAATGCATATTCTTTCATTAGATGAAGATGTTTAATCTTGATTTTATGGAAACAAATGCAGTATATACAAAATCAAGGAAATCCTTTTCAGAATTATACACTAAGTGCTTAGAAGAAAAACTTGCCTTTGTTTTGTGTTAAATATAACAGAGAAGTTTGGTAATTATACTGTCTTCATATGATTTTTTTTGTAGGGCTTGATGGGGGTTTGAACTCAGGCTCTGCACTTGTTAAGCAGGTGCTCTACCACTTGAGCCACACCTCTAGCTCCTTAGCCTAAACTTTTAACCAGATAATCCAAAATTTTAACCATGTTTTACTACAGTAATAAAATTAAAAGCAAAAAAAATACCTCATTCAGAAAAATGAAAGCTGGAGTTTCAGCTAAATCAACCTTGCGCTCATCACGAAAGTTTGTGGTGGGCATGATACCATAAGGCAGCTCATTTGGGTCCTTTCCATATTCCTCTTCATTCTCTTCCTCTTCATTTTCTGTGTCTGTTGTATCATCTTCCATTTTTCACAATTCTAAAGAGAAATTACTGCACAGTCAGCTATTTAGCAGTATCTTCATTTATAAGTAAAAATTAATGGAAAATATTAAAAATAGCAAAGAATCAACAGGAGTAAGCTGCTCTGGGAAACTCTAAGTCAGGAAAAATAGCTATAATCTCCTCTTATAACAGACTACCCAGTTGCTGAGCCTGCCTCCCTCACCCCAACATATCCTCCTTCCCAAGAGCCTGTCAGCCACTCCCCCTCCCCTTCCCCTCTGACTTCTTCCCTCCTCTCTAGCAAATAATACACACAATAGAATGAGTGCTTTTGTTTATTTTTTTCTGGCCAACAGAACATTCCCGCATCCCCCACCCCCCATTTCTGCCCCCTGTGCCCTAAGCTTGGACTCTGGGCCTGAGTGCTGTCCCTGGGGTTTTTTGCTCAAGGCTAGCCCTCTACCACTTGAGCCACAGCTCCACTTCTGGCTTTTTGCTGGTTTATTAGAGATAAGAGTCTCATGGACTTTCCTGCTCAGGCTGATTTTGAACTATGGTCCTCAGATCTCAGTCTCCTGAATAGCTAGAATTATCATTGTGAGTCACTGGTCCCCAGAATATTTTTCCTATTCTAAAGTTCCAGAGAATATTGCAATTGCAAGTAATTTATTTAAATTTTCAGCAATAAAATGTGAGTGAAGCCTGACATGGTGACCTATTCCTGCAATACTAGCATTTAGGAAGCTGTGGTAGGAGGCTCATGAACTCTAGGACAGGATGAGGTCCAAAATGAGTTTCTGGATCGAAACCTAGAAAACAACAACAAAGAGAGAGAAAAAAAAAAAAACAAAGGGCTAATGTTGAACCAGTAAAGTAACAATCATTCACTCAACTTACTAGGTTGTCCAAAACTGAGCTCCCAGGGGAGTAAAACTGAAGTTCTTCTGCTATTAGTGTGGACAAATGTGATCACCAGCTTTATAAATTTTTCTGCCTCAAATCATATTGGCAGGGCAGCTACATCACTGGCGGACCCTCATAGAGAAATGTGTGGTTCCTTATTTAAAATAACAGGAGAAATGTACTATAAAATGTAACAAAATATAAACTATTTTATCTGCTTAGGAAGTGTAAATAAGGGTACTAGCAACACATGAATAACACAAACTTGTAAATTGCAAGAGAATATGTTGATGTCATATGTTATGCAATAAACCAATAATAAAAATATCTTGATAGATCATAAAAATATTTTGGCTAAATTTCCTGCAAATCCACTTAAATTTATACTTTTTGCAATTTTGTTTTCAACTGAGACAATTCAAAGTAATGTGAGTTGCTTTAAGAAAAATACAAGATTCCAAATAGTATTTGGCAGGCTTTTAAAAAAAATTAAGATGAATATTTTCTGCAGATGCATCAGGCATGTGATTAAGAGTAGTCATAGGACATCGACAATATTTAGATAGATTTCTGACAAGTCACTTACAATACATAAAAGCTAGAGCTCTTGAGTTTTGGAGAATAATTTTTCTAAAATGTTTCACTTTACAAAGTCAATTTCATTTAGGAGCTTTTTTTTCTTTTTTAAAAAAATTCTGATGGCACTGAGATTCTACTCAGGCCTTGTGCTGGCTAGGCAGGTGTTCCACCACGAGAGCTGCACCCTTGGTCGTTTTTGCTCTTTATTTTTCAGGTAGGCTCTTGCCTTTTCCCCAGGGCTGCCCTCGGAGGACTGCGATCCTCCTATCTACACTTTCTAAACAGTTGTGAGCTTCTGAGCTTAATTTTAAATGTAAATCCATTGAACATTCACTTTGACATTTCCTGTGACATCTGTGTAACCTATGGAGCTACATTTTGACATTTCCTGCGACATCTATGTAACTTAGGGAGGTTATAAGGGAATCTAAATGTTCCTTGATTGTCACTTGTGGCCAATCTGCTTCAAAACACTTGCTTATGTGTTCTGTTGCTGAATTCTATTATAAAGAGAAAATACAATTAAATGTTCTTCCTTGTTAATTCTTGGTTCCCTCAAAGCTTCATATGAAAAATATTCTTTACTCTCAAATCCAGTGATCCTTCCATTTAATTTCTATCCTGAAACACAGTGGATACTTCATTTGTAATGTTGTAGTTTTTAGAGCTGGAAGTATTATACAATGAAGCATGCAAGTAACTTTTTTATATACTTTGTTGCAGTCTCTACTTGTATTTACTATGTGATAATTTACTAAAGAGTTTTCAAACTAAAACATTCTACAGGCATGCCAGTAATTTTTGTTCTTAGCAGGTACTATATGATTGGACTGACTTTGAATCTTGACTCTCCAGATCTCAACCTCCCCAGTAGCTAAGTATAATTATAGGTATGAACACCAGCACCCATTAAATAAAGAACAATTTTAAATATATATATATATATATACATAAGATTAAATGAATAATATAAGTATACCTATCAACTACTTTCAATAAATATCAATTCATGTACAATTTTATTTTATCTTCAATCCTTCTCATATCCATTGTCCAGATAGTGTTGAATCAAAACCTAGAAAATCAAACTTAATATATACTAAAGAATTTCATAGTATTATGCAGAGACAGACAGATCTCCTTCCTTTTCATAGCTAAATAATATTCCTTTATGTGTATATATATATTATTCAAACAATTTATAAACTGATAGAATGTTTCCAGCATTTTGCTATCATAAAAATGTTGTGAAATATAGTTTGAAAAAATATATATCCTTAATACTTTATATCCAAGATAGCATTAATTTTGAAAACTCAGGTTAAGTTTGAGACAATTTTCTCAAAGCAATGTACCTTTGAATATAGTCCTTCCCTATCCAAGTGGGGCAAAAAGTGAAAGTCTATCTGAAAAGTAATATAAAAGCAAAATGGGATGGAGGCATGACTCAAGTGGAATAGCTCCTGCCTAGCAGGCACAAGAACCTGAGTTCAGACAATGGAAGGAAGGAAGGAAGGAGGGAAGGAAGGAAAGAAAGAAGGAAGGGAAGGAAGGAAGGAAGAAAGAAAGAAAGGAAGGAAGGAAAGAAGGGAGGGAGGGAGGGAGGGAGGGAGGGACAGGGGGAAGTTGGAAAACACAATAGAGGAAACACAAAAGATAATAGAGGAAAACACGAAAGTCTCATACATGTTAAAACCTGATTAATCTTATTAAATAATTGGAAGGAAAAGATTTATGAGATAGCAAAACTTAATGGGCAAAACGACCAACATTTCAGGATAGTTAAAGCAGGATTCCAAATCCTGTACTTAAAATTATTATATGACAGGTAGTATGGTTAATTGACAGCTACAAATAAACCAGTGAAATAAAGTGTATTGTTGGGCTACCGTGAAATAAACAAGAGAATGTTTATAAAATACCTTAAATTCTTCGTGTGGGAAGAGCTACAGAGCTGTCAGGCGTGGTAACTCTAGAGACTCCTAGAGCCAAAATACCTAAATCAATTAAGCAAATCATTTCAAATCCTTTTTATAAAGACCAAGAATTTTCAAGGATGCAAATAACTTAAAATCTTCAAAGGGAGCAAAGCAAGGAAGGGTCATAATAGCTGTGACCTTTTCTTTATACAAGAAAAATAAGACCACTGGAAAACACTGCCTCTGAAAGGCAAATAAGGCAGTTTGTGTTTGTTCTGGTGCGACTGGGGCTTGAACTCAGGTACTTGGGCTCGCTAGGCAGCATTTCTATCATGGAGTCACACCTCTAACCCTCTCTGTGTCTTGAGATAGTTTTCTGTTTGTACCCATGCCAGTTTGGATCACAGTCCTCCTCCTTACACTTTCTGTATAGTTGGTATTACAGGTGTATGCCATCCCATCCAGCAATGTGTGTGTGTGTGTGTGTGTGTGTGTGTGTGTGTGTGTGTGTAGGATTCTCACTAACTTTTGCCTTTGGCTAGTTTTGAACCATGATCTCAATCTCTGCCTCCAAAGTAGTTTAAAGTCATATTCTACCATACTCAGCCGGGTAAGGTTTTGAAAGCCATGTATAGCTATAGGTTTGTCTGAATTAGGGAAGGGAATGGGGGGAGGGAGGTAAGAAATGGTGAGACAAAGGACAAAGGGTGAACCAATGCAACAGCAATACTCACAAGACACCAAGTTGGAAACAAACTGTACAACTTGGGAGGGATGGGGAGAGAGGAAGGGGGAGAAAAATGAGGAAGGGGGTAACAAGTTTGACAAGAATGTACTCACTACCTTACTTATGGAACTGTAACCTCACCTTAACAATAAAATTAAAATAAAAAACCTTTTACCTGTAGGTATTGGGGGCCATTTCATTTTTTTTGAAGAAAAATTATCCATGCTGTGCTGATACTGGTGACAGAGGGAAGAGTCGTTTAGAAAGTATGTGAATTCGGAGGCTAGGAGCCAGTCACAGTGCAATGGGTAGGAGAATACATAGAAGCACAGCCAGGTATGGATTCTGGACTTCAAGGGGCTCAAACAGAGGTGGCAAACAGAAGTTAATCAAGGAATCACAGACATAGGTTTTCAAAAGCTATACATGAAATAAATAGGTGCCATTAAAGTGTGGACTACAGAAGGAGGGTGGCCATGCACTGCACAACTCCAGGGGGCATCACAGACATCATAAATCATGGTAGGAAGCAAAATGTGAAGGATGTGTCTGGAAGATGAGTAACTGAGCCAAAGTTCTGCTGTGAGAGGGTGAAAAGAACACAATCAGGCCTTCTAGAAAGTAGAGGACACACAAAGAGCTTTGGCACATGAGCTTTTGACAGACAGAGTTTTTTTTTTCTTCTTTTTCTTTTTTGTTGGTCATGGGGCTTCAATTCTGGGCCTGGGTGCTGTCCCTCAGCTCTTCAGCTCAAGGCGAGCACTCTACCAGTTGAGCCACAGCACCACTTCCTGTTTTCTGAGTGGCTTATTGGAGATAGGAGTCTCATGTAGTTTCCAGCCTGGGCTGGCTTTGAATTGCAATCCTCAGATCTCTGCTTTCTGAGTAGTAGGATTACAGGCATGAGCCACCGATGCCTGGCACACAGGGCTTTTTCTGACACACAAATAAAAGGCTTCAGTCCTATCCTAAAAGAGCACCTCTGTTTTTCAAACCTCACTAGAAAAGCCCAAATAGAAAGCTTCATAAAAAACAATTAAGCAATGCACATTTCAGGATGTGTTTTATTTTATAAGGCAGACACCACTTCCTTTTCTTTAAAGCTAAACAGAGATACTTATTGTTTTGTTTCGATTTTGTACTATTAAGAAAAATTTGCTTGAGAGTTGCAGGAATCAAGCACGCGTGTGCTCACGCACACACACACACACACACACACACACACACACAATAAGTAACACTTGCTCTGGAAAATGAGGCAAGGATACAAACAATGTGATTTTCTGATGGTCAGGATGGCAGTGTTCCAAGAAAGACATTATAAGAAACCATGCTGTCTTTCAATATTACTGGTCACTATCTTTTGCTTGTTATAGGAATAACAGTCTATGATATAAAAAAAAAATCAAGCTTCTGGGCACACATACCACCCCATCATTCTTCTTTGCAACTAAGCTCTCCTAACTTCCCTGAACATACTATTACATCCTCTTTTCCCAGGAGTCCAATACTGTACAAGCTTAATAGCAGACTGTTCATACTACCTTGTAGCTCTTGGAGAGAGGGAGAACTCTGGGATGCCTCATTTAATTATTTTTGCTTCAGTTTCATTTTATATATATATATATATGTTATATTTATATCAAAACAAGATTATAAGGGGAAAAACTGGGAGAGAATGAGGGAAGGGGTGACACTGTTCAAAAGGAAATGTACTCATTACCTGAATCATGCAACTGTAACCCCTCTGTATACACCTTTACAATAAAAATAAAAAAAATAAGATTGGAAACATTGTGTATAAAGTTTTATGACATGCCTGTTAATCCTGTCAGTATATCTCTGTGATCTTAAGTATGTTTGATTTGAAGATAACAGAGGTCCTTCCTTTGAAGGATTCTGGTTCGTAAAAGATCAGAATACTGGGCAGCCAATCTGAAATGTGGCACCCTAAGATTCCTTTAATGAACAACAGTAATATCAGATGCTACCAATTTGGGAATACTAAACATAACAGATAAAACTGTTGGTTATTCAATGACTCAACAAACCAAATCACAACTGTTTTCTGTTAATATATACATATATACATATATATCCATCTCAAAAAGAGAATTGTGCAAAAACATCCATTCTCATGACCTCATACATACAAGAAAATGCTTTGACTAAGTAGGCCCAGACAAATCTTACTCAAAATTGAAGTGTTCAGGAAACAATGTGATTTGGGCTATCTCTAATTACACACATACACACACACATACACACAAGAATGAAAAACTTTGACAGGGAGTTTTGAGTGTATATATAGTAGTCAAAGTAAAATTTTCCATGTTGGTTAAGTCTTAAGTCATGTGCATGCACAACCAATGAGAATCCATTCCTTGACGGTGGCCACAGAGAACGCCAGGCTACATTACAGAAGGAGGCCCTCTCCACGACGGAAGGATGCCGAGAGCCTTAGGTTTCTCTCTCCCCCTTACACTATTGTCTTGTCTCCTTTTTTCCCACTCTCACAATCCCCCCCACACAGATCCAAGAAGAGTTGCCCACCTTTTCTTCAAAGTTGTTTGTGTATTTCCCCATTCGCCAGTCCCCAAATCAGCTCTATAGTAGCATTTCTGAGTGAGTAGAACATAGGGGGTGGAGGTGGAGAAATACACATGGGGAAGAAATGCCATACAAACAGACATGATTTTGTCTGCAGCATACCCACTTGGTCACCCTGTCATCACGAAGCCACCTCAGCCAGCGGTTACCATGGAACCAGTAAAATAGTATTTCTTTAGCTTTTTATAATTTAAACAAAGATTTCCCTCGTAATAGTTCACTTCATCCTAACAACAACCATATACCACAATAATTACCCCTTTTTGTAGAGGTTGAAAGTCAGCAAAGGTTTTACATGATAGCACAGTAATACTCCATGGTGTTAGCAAAGCCCTCTCCTCTTTGCTTCCAGTAACAGCAAACAGCATCATTTCCACGGTATCAGGCCAGAACTCCTTTAACAAAGAGCAGGCCAAGGCAATGTAAATCAATTAGTGATGAACAGTGAGTAGGGAGGCAGGCCACTACGTGGTAAGACTGAGCAGGAGAAAACAATGGTCTATAGAATTTGTTGCTATAGTTACAAACCAAAGGAAAGCCTGCACATGTACACAGCATGGCAAGAAACACTAGCTGTCTATCTGTAACCATCTGCGGTCATTTGACAAGTCTTGTCAGGCTTTAGAAATTCAGAGTGCCTAAAAGGCCTTATGAATTCCCTTAATTCTTTCCAAATCATTTAGCAGTGAGTAGATGTTAAGTCTCAGATCCTGTAGGAGGTTAGGGATACCTGAATAGATCTCAATCTGACAGTTTTCCAGCAGATCTGTGAAGCAGACTTTCTGTATGTCTGAGTGTAATCTGGAATCTGCACACTGCTGGCTACCCCTCAGGTTTGCTATGAAATTCCAGATCTTAAATTTTACATCCTCCTTGCTGAACAAAACAAAACACAACAACAACAACAAAGCCCAGCACTGATGGTTCATGCCTATAATCCTGGCTACTCAGTAGGAGGCTGCGATCTGAGGATAGAGGCTCAAAACCAGTCCAGGAAGGAAAATCTGTGAGACTCTTTTTTTTGGGGGGGGGGTCCGGTCGGGGGGCCTGAACTCTAGGCCTGGGCGCTGTCCCTCAGCTCTTCAGCTCAAGGCTAGCACTCTACCACTTGAGCCACAGCACCACTTCTGGCTTTTTTCTTTTGCTTATGTGGTGCTGAGGAATCGAACCCAGGGCCTCATGAATGCAAAGAAAGCACTCTACCACTGAGCCACCTTCCCAGCCCATCTGTGAGACTCTTATCTCCAATAAATTATTCAAAAAAAGCTGGAGTGGTTCAAGTGATAGAGTGCTAGCCTTCATCAAAAGAAGCTCTAGGACAGTGCTCTGGCCTTGAGTCCAAACTCCAGGATTGGCATCAAAGAATTTTAAAAACCCTAATTCAGCCAGGCACCAGTGGCTCATGCCACTGTAATCCTAGTTACTCAGAAGGCTGAGATCTAAGGCTGGTTTGAAACCATCCCAGGCAGGCAAATCTGTGAGACTCTTACCTCCAATAAACTACTCAGAAAAAGTGGTACTGTGGCTAAAGTGGTAGAGTGTTAGACTTAATCATAAGAAGCTCAGGGACAGCGCAAGGCCCAGAGTTCAAGCCCCAGAACTGGCAAACAAAAAAGCTCTAATTCATCTTCTTGTTCATCTCTTCATGTATCACCATTCCACTTATACACAAACACATATAAATTCATATGCATATGAAATCACTAATTTCTCAGTCTGTTCAGGTTTTCACTGGTTAGGATTGGAGCAACAACTTCCAAGTTCCTAACATGAAGAAACCAAACCAGAAGTCCTTTCCCCTCCAATTTTTGTCGGTTGTGGGGCTTGAACTCTGGGCTTGGGTGCTGTCCCTCAGCTCTTCAGCTCAAGGCGAGCACTCTACTGCTTGAGCCACAGCGCCACTTCCGGAAATCCTTCCATATCCTTTTATTCCATAACTTCATTGTAGGGAACCTACAGGAGAATGTTAAGTAGAAGTGATGAGAGAGAGAAAGAGAGAGAGAAAGAGAAAGAGTTTTCACAGATCTTAGTGTGTCTCAACTAGCCTTGAATCTCTATCCTCCTAATCTCTACCTCTTAAACAGCTTGGATTATAAGCATAGCCATTATTCTTTTAAACTAATCATTGTTGTTAGGATATGAAGTGTCTCCCCAAATGCTCATTTGTTGAAGGCTTGGTGAGTTTACACTGAACTGGTTACTACAAAGTGGAACTAGGTTGGAGGAAGGAAGACACTGAGGCTTACTTAAAGGGTGTAGCCTGTCCTAACTCTTTCTCGATTCTCTTTTCTTCTATCTCTCTCCCTCCTTCCCTCTCTCTCTGTCTTTTTTGAAACATAGTTTTGCTGTTCAATCTACACTGAACTTTCAGTCCTCCTGCCTCAGGATCTGCAGGCAGAGATGACAAGTAGAACCCATCACAGCTTGTTACATTACATTACAGCTCCCTTCTTGTTTCCTTCTGCCTCCTGTCTGTGGTGAAGTAGGTCATCTTGTTCCTCCACCTACTCCCTGCCATGATGCTCTATCGCTATGCAGAGGCCCAGAAGCAACAGAGCCCAAATGGCTGTGCACAGATGTCTGAAGCCTTGAGTCAAAATAAATCTATCTTCCTTTAAGTCATGTTTGTCAGGTACTTATCGGTGGGTAAACGTCTAGCTATCCTTAATCATTCATTTTAGATATAAGCATCACTTGATCATGATCCTTTTCACATATTAATGATTTGAGATTTTCTATATTCATGTGGAATATTATACTGTACTTTTCTTTTCTGGCAATAAATTTGCTTGGCTTTGTTATCATGAAAACACTGGCCTCATAAAATGAATTTGGAAGCATTGTCTTCTAATTTTGGAGAGGTTATACAGAATTCTGGGGAGTTTATGCAGATTTTTTCCCTTAATATATATCTGGTAGATATCACCTGCAGAGCCATCTGCTTTACAGATGGAGTTTATTTTTATGATTTCTTTTCTAAATCATTTTCCATGCCCAAGCAAAGTGTGACTCCAGAGATCCTGATATCACATATCTGCTGCATGGACCACAATGCAGGGGAAAAACCTAAATACAAACACCCAGTTGGGCTGGGGGTTATGACCAAGCACACCTACCTCTGGGAGTTTGTGGCTGTCAGTAGCTCAATAGTACAATGGGAAGTGCAGCACAGTGACTTCCAACCCACAGACTATCATGAAGACTGGTCTTCTATATTTATCTAAAGATACTGGAGCACTAGTGGTGATAGTTTTTCATTAGAGATGGCGGGTGATTTCACGGTTGTGGTTTGTCAACTGTGACAGACTGAATAGTCAAGCTTTGTTCATCCTAAATGGAAAGGAAGACTACACCCAGTGTCTTGAGCATTGAAATAGAATATTTGATTATTGAGCAACCCTTGCCCACAGTAGTAACAAAAAAATCACAACCTAGCTACTCCCCAGTCTTAAGTAATCTCTGAGAAATCCTCAACTAAAAGGACACAGGAAGTAAAGATCTCCAATTAAAACCTTGGACTCGCCAGGCGCTGGTGGCTCACGCCTGTAATCCTAGCTACTCAGAAGGCTGAGATCTGAGGATCATTGTTCAAAGCCAGCCCGGGCAGGAGAGACCATGAGACTCCTATCTCCAATAAACCACCAGAAAACCGGAAGTGGCACTGTAGCTCAAGTGTAGAGCGCTTGCCTTGAGCTGAAGAGCTGAGGGACAGCGCCCAGGCCCAGGGTTCAAGCCCCGCGACCAACAAAAAACAACAACAACAAAAAAAACAACCTTGGACTCAGGTAGGTAAGCTATAATATAAAAACAAAATTCATAAAACATGAGGTAACAGGTCTTTTTCAAAAGTCAACAACTCTATAGTAAAGGGTTCAAAGGATAGTTAAGAGGGACAAATTTCAAAAATAATAATAATAAAAAGCAATGACAAGGATGATTATTGAAATAAAAGAGATGAAATAGAAGATACAAATAAACAGCAGTGCTCAAAGATGATACAAATAAGCAGCCAAATGAAATAAAGAAGACAATACAGAATATGAAAGATAAATTCAATAAATAAGTATATAGAAATCTTTTAAACAATTAAATGAAAGTGTTGGAAATGAAGAACTTGGTAACCCAATTTTAAAAATTCATTTAAAAGCCCAGTTTTGTTTGGGTCAAATTTTCTTCTGAAGACTCTTTCTTGCCCCCTGCTGTCCATTTACTGAACATAAGTCATAAAATATTCATTGAGAGAATGACATTTAGATAGCAAGAAATCCTCTTTCCATTCCATATTTACATTTACATGATAAGAAAGTTGTGACATTTTAGTTCAGTCTTAGTGGGCAATATTTATGATAGGAAATGCTTTATATTTTTATTATTATAAATGTGAATCATATTCACTGTTGTGACACATAAAAAATAATCTCACTGCTTAAAGATAATCACTATTATCAAATTATATATACATATATATACTTTTTACAATTGCTTCTGAGCAATATAGTTTTATATTTAATTTATTATTATTGCTACAGTATTGGGAACATACTACACAAATCTGGTATTTACTCTTCACTTATGAAAAATTTGCAATAATGTTGACTCATTTTCAAAATACATCTTCTAAATCACTGAATAATATTTCAAATATGTACAATTCTTCTTTGATGGCATTTAAATTGATGCAATGATTTCATATCATGAGGAGTTTCATAAAACAAAATTTCTTGACTATTCCTAACTTTATGCTTACATTTCTCAAAGCACAATTTCTAAGCCATACACACACATATTTTTAAGGCTTTTCATGCTAACAAATGAATTGAACTGTGAAAAATGTTCAGAAGCTTGTCATGACTCTGGAGAAGGCTCTTTAAAATGGAAGAGGTAACAATATCTTCGAAGTAAACTATGAATAAGGACAAAAAGTTATATCTGATTATTTTTGATTCTCTTGTTCTTCAAAAGTGTGGCTCAGTGGTAGAGTGCTTGCCTTGCATGCTTGAGGCCCTGGGTTCAATTCCTCAGCACCACATAAGCTGAAGAGCTGAGGGACAGCACCCAGGCCCAGAGTTCAGGCCCCACAACCGGACCTCCCCCAAAAAAGTGTCAAGTATAAGGGATAAAAGGGTCATACTTCTTGAAATCTTGATGGTTTAGGACCTACTTCCTCATTTATAATGAAAAAAATAAGTACTGTACTGTTAAACAGTGTATTTTGTTTTGATACAGTGAAATGATGCATGTGATATTGCATATTTTAAAAATTATTTCATACCTGTAGAATATGTAACTTTTATTAGTTACTATATAGACAGACTTGATACTCATTAGGCTATTTTTAAGTGCCAATACACCTTATATCTATGCAATCTTTTTTGATATATATTTTATTATAAAGCTACTGTACAAAGGGGCTACAGTTATGTGAGTAAGGTAATGAGTACATTTCCTATCAAGCATTGTTACTCCAATACTCCTGATATCTATGTCAATCTTAATAGTAATTCTATTCTCAAGTTTTAAGTTCACACATCAGAAAGTAATTTTTTGTTAATTATCTTTTTGAAAATTGTCAAATAACAATTACACCACATAGACTATTATGATTCAGCTATCAATTGCATTAACTTAGTTTCCAGAAAGGAAAAGTTACTTACAAACAGTTATTTATTAAGGATTCACATTTTATCTAAAAATGCTTCTACAGCCAGTGCCCTTTTACAAATTTCTTTTCAAAAATTATGCTTGTGTTTTCATTTTTAAAAAGTCTGAAGATTAGCGTGAATAATTGTAGTCACATGAAATACAATGTGAAGAACATTATTCACTCACTGGGCTTTGCTGAACCTAAAAGCTAACACCTGTCGCTAGTCTCCAATAAATAAAGAAGGATTTGGAGGGGGGGGGAATAGGAGGAGGAAGCAGGAGAGGATAACTTAAGAACATACTGAATTTTTAAAAAATTGAATGGTTAGCAAAGAGCCAGCAACTAACACCTGTGAGGACTACAGTCCTTTCTATCTGCCTATCACTCTAGCTTCCAAGAATTCTAGCCATCACACTAGACTAAGGGCTTCAACCTTTGAAGGCATTTCAACACTTAAATTTTATTAAATGTGGTTGTTTGGAGGTAGACAGCTACCTACACCTAAGGAATTCAGGGTGATTTGTAGGAAATGGTAGAGAGTAAGAAAGGGAGAGAGATCAGACAGATAAGAGTAAATAAATATACCCTTCTTTCTCTTTTCTTCTGCCCATAGAATAACAAACTGTAAAAGGTAAAAAAAAGAAAGAAAACAAAAGACCTTACAGTTACTCAATACAATCCATCTTTACCTTAAAACTTAAGAAATAGTGCATGTGACACAGATAAATCCATAATGGGCCTGGTTGTCCCCCCACTCTTAACTTCCAGGTCCTTTCCACACACCAGGATGTATCTTCCTATCCCTCCTCCTCTCCTTCCTACTTTCCTCCCCTCCTTTTTCTCTAAGATTTTATTTTTTCCCTAAATCATTTAGCTAAAAAAATGCTCTTCTCAAAACAAGTTCTTGTCTCTTAGCTTTCTTTTGGTTACTTAGAATATAAACATTGTTCCTAAAATAAAAGTCCAGTACGTTACATTGCAATTGTGTGGACTGCGTTACCACCCGTTTACTATCTTACATGATCCTCACAAAACCCAATGAGGCAAAGCAAGAAAGGTATTATTGCCTTAAATTTAAGAATAACCAATAAAGCTCAGAGACATCCACACACTGACTTAAGATCACTTACAGTCAGGAAGAAGCCAGGACTCAAATGCTGTTTCTTACGAATACTTGTTACCGAGGAGAGTTTCCTGGGATCTGACTCTACCCTCTCCAGCAGAGGCAGGCTACATTCCCAGGGGGCTAGTTTAGTGACGCTTGAGTCTGACCACCTACAGAGTGCACTCCTATGTTACACCTAGTTCTCATCTGTAAAGGAGCAGTTTCTTACCCTTCTTTTTGGTCCTGATACTTATTTGGGGCTTCTAATTTTCTTTGGGGGAGTTTTGGGTTCCCGAGGGTCACTCCAAAGCTCCACCCTCTCCAAACAAGAAGTCGCGTCCTGGGTATCCAAGGAGACCACCGGTCCTTGCCCATCTTGCTCCTTCAGCATTCTCCATTGGCCAATGAGATTCCCTTGCAGACTCCACCCCTCCGCCCCCGCCCCTATAATAACCAATGGGTTTGAAGCAAAGGAAACGCGCCCTTCCAAGCCCGGTCTTATTACCCTTCCTGTCGTGCGCACTCCCTCCTGGTATATGTAGTTTCCAATCCGCCAGACTAGTCAGGAGTGTGTCTTCCTTAGAACTACCAATCCCGTCGGCCTTCGCGAAAGGGGGCGGAAATAGGCAAGGACTACGGGTCCCGGTTTGCACTTGGAGCTTTACAATTCCTGCTGTCTGCTACCGTTTGTACCACTGGCGTTTTAAATCACCTAAGTGCAGGGATTGGGTTTGCTGTGCAGCAGCAGCAAACCCAGACGCCTCCGTTCTGACTTGAAGCAACTCCGTGGCCAAGCCAATTGGCTGTGGCCAGGCGTCCTCCGCGGGCTGAGGGCGAGAGGGGCACGTCATGTTCGCCTCCTGCGCTGGCCCGGGGCTTGGCTGCCTCGGCCGCGGGCTCGGCCGGGCCCGCGCTGGGCGTTGGACGGGTCGGGCTTTTCAGGGCCGGCTGTGTAGCTCCGCACCTGAGCCCGACGTCCTTCCGCCTGGCCCGGCGCGCCGGCCTCTGAAGGAGTGGACGCTGCTGGTGAGCCCGTTCGGTCGGCTGCGAGCGCGGCTCCGGTGCCACCTGGCCGTGAGGCCCCTGGACCCCCTCACCTTCCCGGATGGCGACCGCGTGCTGGTGACGGTGTCTGGCGTGGAGGGCGGGACGCCTGGCCTGGACAGCCTGCAGGTGCAGTACGACGAGGCCCTGCAGGAGATGGCCATCGTGTCGGACACCATCGATCCCCGGGCGTCGGTGGAGGTGAACGTACCCCTGAAGTTTGGCAAGTGACGTTTAAGTTGGGGCCCACCGCACTCACGGCGCTCTTGTTAAAGTTCAGCCCGCGCACATTTTTTAATCAGTCACTTGGGACACCTGTCTCATTTAGAGTTGGCCCCTAAAGAAGCTTCCTCTTCTGCATCCACACCGAATTCCCGAGTAGCATTTGAGAATCAACCTCACAATTAAGGAAAAAAATTAAATCGAGTGGAAACATGATTTGGAATAATCCCCTTATGCATCTTTGTCACACTGTCATTAGTAAACTGGTTTATTTTTCAGGGTTGATAATTCATTCAATAGTATGGTTGGCCATTTAAGTTTCCCCTTACCACACCTTGGCCAAATACCCCTGTCTCCAGAATGTTCCATAGACAGGTAACCTGGAGCAGGTATTGGTTTCACATATGCACCCAGCTTCTTAATAACTTGTCTCCATTCTTTTTGGCCTAAGTATGTTCTCAAATTTGGCCTAGCAAGCTTTTGAAGAAATAGACATAGAAAGACTGCCAGGGAACTTCTGTAATAATAACACAAGTTGTTTCCTAGACATTGGGTTTGGTGTAACTTCTCAGAGGTAACTTTTTAGGGAGAGTTCTCCAGGCTTTCATTCTTAGAAATGAAGGAAGATATTGAAAATGATCATATAATGATTTAGCATTTCTGAGGTAATCTTTTAGTTGAATTATAAAATAGATATTATCACCATTTTAGATGAGGAAGCTAAGATACAGGAAGTCGGATGCTGGTGGCTTATGTCTGTAATCCTAGCTACTCTGGGGCTGACATTTGAGGATCATAGTTCAAAGCTAGACAGGGCAGGAAAGTCCTTGAGATGCATAACTCCATTAAACTACTCAGAAAAAGCCAGCAATTGTGCTGTGGTAAAGTGCTAGCCTTGAGCACGAAGAGGCTCAGTGACAGTGCCTATTCCCTGACTTCAAGTCCCAGGACTGGCAAATAAAATAAAATACAAATAAGATATAGGAAGTATCCTAAAGTATTTATTGTGGATGAACAAATAGAAAAAAAAATCAGTGACTTCATGGAACTCACATTGTAGTGGAGGGTAGATTTTAAAATGCCTTCTCTTTAATACATGAAGTGATAGAGTTTGGCTATGGACTGGATTCACTCAGTCATTATGCTTTATTCCCTCTCAAAGTCTGACTAGGTAAATAAGAGAACCTGCTCTGTAAATGTAATAGTCTTGGGGAGAGAGATGCTTTGGAGCTTTGCCTATAGTACAAAATAGACTGAGTGTTGAGTAGACTAAGCAAAAGTATGGTAGCACAGATAAATACAGATGCTTTTTGTTGGTGCTTCTTACCCTCATCGTTGCTTCCTCTTTTTAGATTTGAAGCCCAATTTCCAATGTACTGTTTCTATTCTTCTATTCCACAGGCCCCCTCAAATCTGGCTTCACGCTTTTCCTCCACATTGTCTCTTATTTGTTTCAGCAGATGGGTTGAAGTAATGGGTAGCTTTAATTTCTCCACCTACTTAGCAAGGTAGAGTGAGTTTAAAATGTTTCATTCTTTTCATAGCTGTCATCAGTGCTTTAGATACAACCATGTGCTGTGACATTACATTATTATTATTAGAAATAAGCTTTGCAGTTAATTTGCATCTGTGTTTCTGTGAGATAAAATTGTTTTTCTTATATTGTCACAATTGCAATAAAAATATTGCTGTTTTAAATAACAGATTACAGTTATAAAGCTATGGAGATTGATTTTATAACTATTGAAATTGTAGCAATAAGCCCCAATTTGTTTACTTCTGCATTTTACTATAAGAAGATATTTATGTGAATTAAGTACTAAGTTATCAATATTTCTGTCTATTTTTTTATATGTCGTTCGTAGGGCTTGAATTCTGGGCCTGGGCCCTGTCCCTGAGCTCTTCAGCTCAAGGCAAGCACTATACCACTTGAGCCACAGCACCACTTCCGGTTTTCTGGTTGCTTATTGGAGATAAGTTTCATGGCTTTTCTTGCCCAGGCTAGCTTTGAACCTTGATCCTCAGATCTCAGCCTCCTGTGTAGCTAGGATTACAGGCATGAGCTACCAGTGCCCCACTAGTATTTCTAAGTCTTTTAATGCAGAGATGCCTAAGGTTAAACTGTAAGTAGACAAGTAACAATGGCAACTCTAATTCCTTATTTCCCAGCTCTGAATATATTCCCACTTAACTCATTATTATGGTTATTGTTTACTAGTGGCTCCACTTTTGAAAAAATACTTCAAATATCTTGTAGCCTAGCTGCATGGTAATAGTCTAGTTTTTTAGATGTTAAGGATTAGAGGGAGAATTTGCAAATCTAAACCATGGTCATATGTATTACATGTTATTACTCTATGCTTTTAATTTGGAGGAGGGTTCTGAATAAATCTTTAAATCTTCCCGAATATAAGAGACACTTAGCTTGATGACTATCCTAACATATTTTTATTTACTTGTGTGTGTGTGTGTGCGTGCGTGCGCGCGTGTGTGTGTGTGTGTGTGTGTGTGTGTGTGATTCTCAGAGAATCCTTTCTATGATATTTTGTAAGAGAGGTAACAGTTTCTTCTCTCTTTACTTTATGTTACTTCTTCCTCTCTTTAAAACAGTGAGAAACAATCATTTCTAAAAACTGGCAGAAAGATGTTGCATTTGATCCAGTTGCCTTGGCTGAGACAATATTTTTAGAGACTGTTGACCAAAATGTTCTCTTTAGGATTCAGTAAAATGAGGAATGTAGCTAAGGAACTGGATCTCTAGCAGGTATTAAAATGCTTCGGAGCTCTTTAGTACTAAACTGTTTTTTCCTTCTCTTTTAGATTTGAATATCAAGTCATTGGGATCTGGCTGTGTAAAAGTCCAGAATATTGAATGTGATCATTGCAAAATTGAAACTGAACAGGGTATCAGCTTCTTGGGCTCTGTTAAGGTATACGTACTCTAAACTACTCTTTAAAAAAATAGACCAGCCCTCTACTAACTCATATACAATTATAGTTCCGCAACTGTGGTGGCTCTTCCCTTCTTGGGTTCCTAGATGCCTTCCTAGAAAGGAGCTAAGTTCCTTCCATCTTTTGGCTCTCACCTAGAATCACTGGGAGGGGGCTGAGCACGGCACACCCCTTCTAAAAGTGCCAGCCTGGAAATGGCATACAGCATTTTCACTTGCATTTTATTGGCAACAACTGAGGTTAGGAAACACACTGCCTTTCCTTTGGACAATAAACATTGATTTCAGTTTTTGACATAGTTGGCAAGTGTGAAATGAAGCTACACATACATGTATGTTTGGGGTCTGCCTGAAGGGACTAACTAGAACATGCCTACTGTTTTATTTCTGCTTGGAAGCATTTTCATTTAGCTTTTTTTCTTGGGTGCAGTACAATGTACTATAACCCTTTGAGTAATGTGTCCTCATTCAGCCCCTTCCAGCCTTATAAGTATAGATTTGGGGATCATATAGAACTGGATTCTAATTGATTCTTTTTATTTTTTTGTTATTTATATATTTATTTTCGGTTGTGGGGCCTTAACTCTGGGCCTGGCACTGCCCCTCAGCTCTTCAGCTCAAGGCTAGCACTCTATCACATGATTCACAGCACCACTTCTGGCTTTTTCTGCTTATGTGGTGCTGAGGAATCCAACCGAGGGCCTCATGCATGCAAGACAAGCACTGTACCACTGATCCACCTTCCCAGCCCTGACATTTTTTTTTTCTTAACAGCTATCTAACTTCTGAGATTCAGGGTTTTTACCCTCTATAAAATGGGAAAAATAGAATACCTATCTCTTTAAATTGTTAGAATTAAATGCTATAGTTCATGTAAAGTAGGCTACATTGTCTTTCTAGTACTGACAAACTGCCAAAAAAGAGATAACTATTGGTAATAGTAACTGATTGATAATGGCAATGGTTAATGTGCTCCCTCTTTGTGTTTACTTACCTGGTTACAGGAATCTGTGACTCCCAAATCCTTCTTAAAAGAAGCTACTGGAATATAGCTCTATATAATTTTGTCTTAGAAAGTATTCCTTTTTTTTTCTTTGTCTCTAATAACTGCTTTGACAGCAGTTGGCATTTTCTTTTCAGTAGATATGTTTATACTAGTGTCAGCTTCATTTCCAGGTTCTTCTCTTGGTGTTTCATTATTGTTAAGAAAGAAACATGATAAATGTTTCACTAATTTAAGACAAACTTTATTTCTTCCTTTTTTGTCTATGTTTTATTTGTCTTTCAGAGTCAAAAATTATATGTTCAAACTAAAGGTGGCAAAGTGATCTGTGTTGGAACAATCTACGGAGATACAGATATCCATGCATCGGATAAAAGTGTAAGATCCATTGTAGCAATGAGACACTATGTTGAAAATGAACTTTACAGCTTTGAGGGGTTGGGGAGGTGAGGAGGGTAGGTATTGTAGGGGAAAAACAAAGGAGGGGGTAACAATGCTTGATAGGAGATGTACTCATTACCTTACTCATATAACTGTACCCCTCTGTACAGTATCTTTACAATAATATATCTATATATTTTAAAAAATCAAAAATAAAGTGTAAGATCAGAGCTTTCTCTTGTTAGCAATTACAATTTTGCTTCCCATTGACTCACAAAGTAGGTGGCTTTTAAAGAAAATAATCTTTAATGCATTCTGGTTTGTTAGTAAATTCAAATGTAATTGTAGTCATTAAATATGCAATTTAAATTTTAGTTTGTGATTTTAATACTTGTGACACTTCCTTATTTCAAATGAGTAACAACTTAAATACTTAACATTTAGTTCTTATCCTGATTTTTTAGTAGTTATTGGTTAAAATATCTCATTAAGTTATACCAACATATCTGCACTTGATTTTCTTGGATAAGGTTTACTTGAATACTGTAGTTTCCAAGACCTGCTTACTTCCTCTCTAGAAAAATTGATTAATTTGTAATTCAGCTTTCTTCTGTACTGTCCACAAGGTGGCACTGTTAGATATCTTTACTATTCTTCAAATCCTTCCATAGTAGCTATTGGAATTTTTATTAGTATAGGAAGATAGTTTGTAATTTTTCTTTTGTTGTTATTGTTCTAGTACTCCAACTTGAACTCAGGCCTCATGATTCTGCTCAGCCTTTCCCCTCTTGGATGGCTCTTTACCACCTGAACCATACCTTCAGTTCCAAGTTTCTGGTCATTAATCAGAGAAAAGGATTTTTCTGCTCATGCTACTTCAAATCAAGATCCTCAGATCTCAGCCTCCTGAATAACTAGAATTATAGGCAGGAACAACCAGTGCTCAAATTGTAGATTTTAATCAACTGTTTTATTGCTTTCTGTGATTTAGCATAGTATTAAGAGTAATGGTAAAAATTTAAAATTACCTTGCATATAGCTATTGAAAATGAAAATATGATATTGAAATTAACGATACACAAACATATAAATAGATGTATGTGTACATACGCATACATACATATGTGTGTGTGTGTGTGTGTATGAGACACTTTATTCACTAACAGAGTAGGTACCAATAATTATACTATCTGAAGGAATCTTAACATTTACTATTTAAATTAATAAACTTGTAGTTCTTCAATAAAATTTCTTCCAGCATGTTCAGTCAAAAAAAATAGTAAAGGTATAATTTTGGAAGTCTTTAAAAATGTGACCAATAATGTTTTTAAATCTTAAAAAAAATTCAAGACTTTTTTGTTTTAAAGTTTTGCAATCTGCACCAGTGTTTTGTTAGATTTTTATTGTAAAGATACTGTACAGAAGGGTTGCAGTTACATGAGGTAGGTAATTAGTACATTTCTGAACAAGCAGTGCTACCTCCTCCCTCATTTTCTCCTACATTCCCTCACTGCTCTAGTGCACCTTTCTCCATCAGCTTTTCATATGCTTTTATTATACATATATATGTATGCGTGTGTGTATATGAGTATAAAACTGATAAATATCAACAGATTACATACTATGTATATACAGGCACATACGCATACATATACCCATAAGTATAATAAAAGCATCTCTTTATAATTAAATTTGTAAGTAAAGTACACCTTTTATTCAGGAATTCAATCTTTTTTTTGGGGGGGTGAGAGGTCCGGTCGTGGGGCCTGAACTCTGGGCCTGGGCGCTGTCCCTCAGCTCTTCAGCTCAAGGCTAGCGCTCTACCACTTGAGCCACAGCACCACTTCTGGCTTTTTTCTTTTTGCTTATGTGGTGCTGAGGAATCAAACCCAGGGCCTCACACATGCAAGGCAAGCGCTCTGCCACTGAGCCACCTTCCCAGCCCCAGGAATTTAATCTTTATTATAAGGCTGAGGCAGAGAAAACATTTGTATTCTCACAAATGTGCTTATAGGGGGAAAACCTTTCTTTGACAAATTTATTGAAATTATTTAAAGTAAAAATTGATATTAATCCACATGTAATTAATGCAAAAGAAAATATCTACTTAATTAGAAATAAAATATATGAATTTTAAATTCAGAAGGGAAAGTAATTCTGATTTACTTTCCATAAAACTCTATGAGTACTTTTTTCTCTTTTTGTACTTATGTCTTCTAATATGTTAATATTCTTGAAACTGAACTCTTATTAGATAACACTTTGAACTCTTAACAATTTCTGGCTTTGTCGGGAGAAATGTTATTGATGCTAGTGTGTTCCAGGTAGTGAGACTGTTTCTTTAAATACCCAGTATACTACTTGAAGTTGCTTCTGGGAAAAATGGGGGCAAGTTCTTAATGTCAATATTTTTATATTCATATCATAAAGAGGATTTTGGAGGTCACTATTTTATATGTGACCAATATTTGAAACAAATGCATACTGAGATTTATTCGGGAAGTTTAAGGATGAACATAAAATCCTTTTCATTTTAATCACTGGAAGGCTACTGCCTTATTAATTATAAAATGGGAAAATTCTAGAGATCAAAAGTGTAGCTGTCATGTAAACATACTAAAGGATAGAAATCAAGATAGCTCAATAGAAAAGTATTGCAAAATTCAATACATTTATTTTTCCTCTAGCAATAATAATCAAGTAAATTTGAAATACAATTGCTATAATCTGATAGAAGGTATATAAAAGATATCCACAGCACACATCATGTTCTGTGCGGAGATGCTTTATACTTTCTTCTTGAGAATAATGGGTAAAGGTGGCTGCTCTTCCCTCTATTAGCAACTTTTCATAGATGGATTGAAGGCTGGAGCCTTCAATGGTAAGACAAAAAAAAGAATGAAAAAGCTGAAGTAAAGCATTAGTATAAGTATTGGAAGAGGGAACATGGAAATATCCACTTGTGCAGAATATAATTATACATTAGAATTTTTTTTTTGTTGGTCATGGGGCCTGAACTCTGGGCCTGGGCACTGTCCCTCGGCTCTTCAGCTCAAGGCCATAGCACCACTTCTGGCTTTTTCTTCTTATGTGGTGCTGAGGAATCGAACCCAGGGCCTCATGCATGCAAGGCAAGCAGTCTACCACCGAGCCACCTTCCCGGGCCCACATTAGAAGTTTTTAAATACAAATTTTGTCATTAAATATGAATACTAGAATAATAGGTACTACTAGTGAGTTTATTTTGTTGCTGGATTAAGGTCAAATGAAAATGTCAAATATACCTTGAAATATATACCTTATATAGCAGGAGTAAATCTGACAAAACATCAAAAATTCTATATGGAAAATACAAAACCTTATTAAGAAAAGTTAATAGTGTTAAGTAGCAGAATTTACTTTGTATCTTATATTCTAGAAAGAGCGCATGTTGTTCACAAGCCTGTAGAGCTAGAAGTTACTTAGAATTTAAAAAAACTGTAGAATCAAGAAAAGGTAGGAGTTAGAAGCAAGAAAACCATTGTACATTAAGTAAAAACAAAACAAAAAAAGAAACTTCATATAGTTGCCCACTAATTCCAGATATACTATTTTGGCTTTATTTCCAGTTTTTGTTTTATAACCAACTAATTGGAGTTTTTTTCTTATTAGACTGTAACTGTAGATAAACTGCAAGGAAGTTCAATTAATATATCTACTGAAGATGGTTTGCTGGAAGCCAAGTATCTTTACACAGAATCATCATTTGTGTCTTCTGCTGCTGGAAATATTGCATTAGGAAATGTGCATGGTAAGCTGACAGAAGATTAATAAGTCTTAGACTTTACATTTAGCATAAATTTTAAGAAATGACTGTGTAGTTAAAGAAGGATCAAGAAACTGGCCTTAGTTGGGCACCAGTACCTCACGCCTGTAATCCTAGCTACTCAGGAGGCTGAGATCTAAGGATCCAGTTCAAAGCCAGCCCAGCCATGAGACTTTTATCTCCAATTAACCACCAGAAACCTGGAAGTGGCACTGTGGCTCAAGTGGTAGAGTGCTTGCCTTGAGCTGAAGAGCTCAAAGACAGTGCCCAGGCCCAGAGTTCAAGCCCCATGACCAACCAAAAAAAAAAAAAAAGAATCTGGCCTTTTTCTAAATAATTAATTGCAGTCCAGATACCCTTTTAAAATATTATGAAAGTGAAATGATAAAAAGCTGTTTTGCCAAAGCATTGAAGATATATTACATATGAAACTGACAATAATTCTGATTTTAACGCATATCCTTATAACATGAAATGAATAACAAAAAATATGTGACATTAAATAAAAGTAGTTTTAAATAAAGATGAGTTTTCAGTGATTGCTTTTATATTATGATAGGAGAGCTAAAGTTAAATTAATGAAACATTTGGGTGGATCTAATTATAGGAACTCAGTTATACTAATTTTGGTTAAATGGTATATACACTTGCGTTGGCACCAAATCCTCTCGATACCTTGCCATTTTCAGTTATCTGAGTTTCTTTTTTATACTTTTTCAAACATGTCTGCAGAAAACCTTTTTGTTTAATGTAAGCAGTAATACTTGGTTCATATTTGTTTTAGGGAAAGGAAAAGAGAGTATAATAGTAAGGTAGCTTGGCAAAAGTCACATCCTAGAGTTCAGTGTCACTCAGCCTGCTTCTCGTATTTCCATAGAGCAGATGACTTAAATCCAGGTGTGGATACTTTCTGCAATATATATGACTAGAATTAAGAATTACTTATCCCAGAATGAACTGTATTCTATATACACATCTGCCAAAAGCTTTACGGGCTATATTCCAGGAAGTATGCTTTTTCCATAAATGATCCATTTTTGTAGTAAAGCTGAATATTAGTACCTATACATGTTGGCAAAATCCCCAGAGTGAGCACAAATTATTAGGTGCTATTAGAAAGTATGGTTAGTACTAGGCTAGCCATTGCTGTATACAGAAAGTTGACAAGTTGTAAATTGACAAGTAAATTTCTCATTATAAAACCGAAACAAAAATTTAAAAAAATCATTATACACTTTCAATAATTCTTGAGCCTCAATTTAATTGTTAAACTTTAACTATTCTTGTAAGCAAGTACTTCAATGTTGATCATAATTAAAAGTATTATGCCAAATCTACAGAATAGCTTTAAGCGAGAAGACAAGTTTCTTATCAACTCAGATGATGATGAACACCCATAGAAAAATAGCTCTGCTCTCCGCACTGCTTTATATGATGACTATATTTAGTACTTTCACATCTTTGCTTTTAATAAAAACAGGAATTGAAGTTGGGATAGTATATCACTAATAGCATATATGATAGTCAGACAGGTGAACTATTTTGAGGCAGCCCTCAAAATACTCCAAGTCTTTTGATTAAAGAAGCTAAAATAGAAACACTGTGAAGGATAAGGGTTCATTCCTTTGCTTTTGTAAAGGAATATTATATTTATATTTACTGTCCTTTAGTAGGAAATCAAATATATTTCCTTACATGGTTAAAAGCTAGATCTTGTGTTAGACTTCTGTCTCCAGTTTGAGTTTCCCTGAAAGTGGAAATACTGAGAGAGGAACTAGAGAGCTTTGCATTAGCTAGGAAGACTTCTTGAGACTGATGCCACATGAAGGAAGGAAGCCCAATTTCCATGGGAGAACTTGTACTATGATACGATTTCCACATCCCCAGTGGGGAGCTCTGAAGCTGGCATGGTCCCTCAGAGTTGTGTCAAGTTGGAATGAGGAGAGCTGGACTTTCATACCCCAGTCATTAGATGCCAGCTGCCCCAGGGAGAGTGTGATCTTGGGCCAACATGGCTCTCTGTAACTGAGGCAGTTCCAATGAGGGCTGACAGTTGAGGGCTATCTGCCAGCAGTGCTCTCAACAGCTAGGAAAATAAGCCTTTCTGGGAGGAAGGGGGCTCAGGATGACGGCTCATAGCCTTTGCTCTGGGTATATTTACTCTGCGACACCCTTGTGTACTAGATTTTGGGGCAGGAGATGATACCTGTCCTTAAAGAATGCACAGTTTAGTGGAAGGATTAAATGTCTTCCTCAGTTTCTCAGCCATTCCCATCCCTATTGGGATGTCACCTCCCACTTCATCTGCAGTTGCAATGCAGTTTCAAGGCATTGTTATCCTACCTCGGTGTAGTGCATTTGTGACTGTCTGTCACCACTCTTTTGTAATACTAGCACAGCAGTTGCTTCCATGTTGTTTAGCCCTGTTTTTCCATCTAGCCCTTACCTCTAGATCTACTGCAGCTTTTCAGTATGTACAAAAGAGAAAAAAAAAACCCAGAAATGAGAAAACCCTTCTTATTCCTAATGCATACCCCCCAGTGCTCTGTTTTTTAAATGACCCTTTGGAGAGCTCACGTTTCTTGTCCCTCTTCCCATATCACCTGTATTTCTGTCACTGCCCCAGGGGATCAGGTGAACATACTCTTCAAGTTTGAAATTTAAGGTACAGTAGGTAAATAAGAGAAGGCAGGGTTTTAGTCTCACATCCTTTAGGTGAAAAGATGGACGTCTCTATGTTCTAACTACAGGAGTCTTATGGGGGAGTTTTATGTCTACCAAAGATCTTCCCAAGCCAGAACTCTGACCATATATTTCAGTGAATTCTTTGTTTCAAATGCTGACAGTTATATAATGCAAATTAGATGTATATATTGGCTGTATTCCAACATGCTGGCATAGGATCTTAAAACTCGTGTTTATGGGAAAATGTTGCTACTTCCTAATATCTGACTTATAGAAAATAAAGTTTGAGACTATATGCATTCTAAAAGCTGCCTGTTGAAGATTTATTTAATTTGGCTTCCTTCTTAAGCTAGGCTTTAACAGATTTTTTTTATAACAGATTTTTTTATAAGCGGAGCTGAAATTTCCAATATATAGATGTTGTAAAAAGCCAGGCATACACAGATATGAACAAGAACTGTCTTTTTGGTAAGTTTTACTAGTATTTGCATTTGGAGCCCTTTTGCCAGTAATTAGGCAGTGGGTGTTTGAAAGAAAACATGTAATGAGTGCCTAAATTAGCAAATTCCTTCCACTTAATGGACAATTGGCTGTTTACAGATGATGAAAACAGGACTTAGAAATGTCTCATTGTTTATGTGCAGCTCTAAGTGAACTAGTAAAATAGCGAGGATTTTATGGTCGCTTAATTACTTTTAGGAGATATTCTTAAATTTGGTAGATATTAGATGTTCTTAAACATCTTGATTCTAACCAAAATTTCCATCATTGATTTCAAGGCATTCTGGTCCTAGAGATGTTTCCTATAGTCAGAAAGCTCTGTAACACAGATGTACTGAGTCAGCAATGTTCCATGTTGTAACTTCCTTGAGTTTCCAGACTATTTATTAATGCCTATGATATCTGACACAAAATATGAATGTTCTAGTCAGTGTTTGAATTCAACTCCGTGGTGGTATTTTAGAAACTATGCTCCTGTGAAAGTAATGTTTAAACCATGATCATATGCTTTTACTGAGGGAAAAAAAACCCTCAGTATGTTTATCTTTGGATTGATTGCCTTTGTCTCAGGCCATGTTAGAATGAAGGATGGCAAAATAAGAGAAACCATGGATTTTTTAAAATACTGAGATTTATGGGCAAGTTGCAGAACTTTAGCATAGCAGGAGCCTACCTAGTTATTACTGATCACATAGTGTCTGCTTTATTGAAAAGAAGCTTTGACCACAATATACTTCTCAAATAGTTAATTTCTAATTTGTTTCCAATGATTAGAGCTTAACTGGGTGAACCCAAACTACAGACAATTCTGTTAATAATTCTCATTGTTGATATGTGTACTTCTGATATGCTAACTCATTCCACTAAGTATTCTAATGACTTGGAATATTTCTGTTCAAGGCAAAGATTTGCTAAATCTTTTGACAGTGAATTGAAACTATGTTTTTGTCAGAAAAAATGTTTTCATTAAAATGTAGTAAATTTTAGCTGGGTATCAGTGGCTTATACCTGTAATCCTAACTTGTGAGGATTGTGGTTCAAAGCCAGCCTGGGCAGGAAGACTCTCATCTCCAATTAATTACTATAAAGCCAGAGGTGATGCTGTGGCTAACCTTAAGCACAAAAGCTAACGGACAGTGCCCAGGCCCTGAGTTCAAACACTAGGATCTACACACACAAAAAAGTAACTTTTGGGGGAAATAAAGTGGGAGAAAAACAAGGGAGAGGGTAACAATGTTCAACAAGAAATATATTCATTACATTATGTATGTAACTGTAACCCTTCTATATATCACCTTGACAATAAATTTTTTTAAAAAGATAAATTTTTACTGCATTCATTGAAGACAAATGTAAGACTATAAAGTGCTATTTCATTGTGAATGAGTGATTGGACTCACTAACTAAAAAACTAAATCTATATCTTAGTTCTTCATGAATGGTTGTAAATATTAGGGATACAAATATAAAGTTAGAGATATTAGGGATTTGATCCATCTAAGTGTTCAAGAAATGGGAGGAGTAGAGAATTAGTAATATTGAAGCAGCTCTTACAAGGCTAATTTCCCCAAAGCATTGTCCATCATGAAATGTTTCACTGTCTCCTTTGATGTGGGGCCATCACCCTAGTGAGATCCACCCCATTCCCCAAGCCAGCATTAATCTTTCCATTAGGGTGAAGTCCCTTCTACAAGCCTTCTACAAGGCTCCTGCTCTTAAAGCTTTTATCAAAACACTCCACACTATGTCTTAAGCTTCTAGCATTTGCAACTTTAAGATTCATAACATCTTTCCTATATTAAAAAAATACTCCCTTCCTCCTAAAGTTTCCTAGGTATCATCCCATTATGCATCAACTGACCTCTGTATCAAAATCAGATGCACCACATGCAGATGAGGCTCCTCAGTATGATGTGTCCATATGTACAACTCAAGTGCAATTCCTTGAATCTTTAGACATATGAACTAAAGAGATGTTACCTCCTCTCCCTTCCTCTCTATCACCACATACACATACCACCTGCATAGCGCAGTTACAGTGAAAGGTAAGGCATAGGATAATGGTTAAAAACTTTCCTATTGAAAGGAAGAAAATGAGAGGATCAAGGATCAATGGAATCACTATTCATAGTGCTTTTGAAATTCAGGTGGACAAGTAGTGTAGGTTCTTTGATTGTAAGGCTTGGGAATAATTTTTTGAGGTTCTAGGTTTTGCCCTCTTAGGTCATCATTAATTTTTGTTTTGTTTCATTTCATTTTGTGCCAGTACCTGAACTGGCACATTTATGAAATGTAGTCTATATTCACAGCCAAGTAGTTTTCTTAACCTGTCTCTGGCCAGTAGAATGTTAGAGATCTAGTGATCTCTTTTCATCGACTGTTACTGTCTCTTTCCATTCAAGTTGGCAGTACTTACTGATAGAATGTTCTCAAAAACTTTATTAGCTTCCCGTGAATCCCATTGGGGTTTGTTCTCTTAGGCAAAACTTAGACTTACACAAAATCTCTTCAGAATATGGGCTTCTGCTAACATGCTGAGATACAACATCTTCAAGCATTGCAGAAGGTCTGTTTGATTGAGAGGATCTGTAAGGCATATCCTTAATCTTAAAGAGGTTTTTGTACAACTGGATAATATTATAAGATACCACTATTGATCTTTCTGGTGTCTTAACCAAGGTTTTTCTAGTTACTCTCAGTTTTATTTTTAGGCCATATTTTAGTCCTGGATTTAAATTTTCTTTTGGGTCCAGGAAGGAAAAATAAACAAATAAAATATCCAGAGCTATCCAGTTAAGATATTTTTAGCTAGATCATTGAGTTCATTTGTCACATTTCCTATTCTGTATTACCAGAGGTGATAGTGTTGCTAAGTTTCTGCTATAATAAATACAAGTCCTCCCTTCAGTTTTCAAAAATATTTTCCTCACTTCTTATTCAGCCATCTTATGAAGCGTACCCAAGGTCCAGATTTCTGCTGAATTACTGTTCAGTGCGATTTCTCTAACATACTCTACAAAATCCTTCCAACCTCTGCCAAGCCCCCAAAGTTATTTCATTTTTTGCATATTTATTATGACAGCACCCATGTCAGATACCAACATTTGTACTATTTACTCTTCTGTAACAGATTATCTTAAAACATAACAATTGTAAACAAGGAACACTTATTGGCTGGGCCAGAAATCTGGGTGTGGCTTAATAGTCTTAGGATGGTTCAAAAGTTTGTAATCAAGATGTCAGCCAAGACTGTGAGCTCATCGAATGTTCAACCAGGGAAAATTCTGCCTCCATGCTCACTCATGTGGTTGTTGGCAGGATTTAGTTCAGATCCTGCTGGCCAGGAGCCACTTCAGTTTCCTTGCCAAATGGATACTGTCTGCAGCACAGTTAATTTCCAACATGGCAGCTGGCATCCATCAGAATAAGAGGACTAGAAAGACACCATAGTCTTTTTGTAACCTCATCTCATAAATGGTGTCCCACCACTGGTCCCCCATTCTCTTTGTTAAAAGCTAGTCACTAGGGTTCAGTCTACTATGAGAAAAGAAGACTAGACAGGCCATGAATACTAGGAGACGGGCTAGGAAGGTGGCTCAGAGGTAGAGTGCTTGCTTTGCATCATGAGGCCCTGGGTTTGATTCCTCAGCACCACATAAGCAGAAAAAGCCAGAAGTGGCACTGTGGCTCAAGTGGTAGAGTGCTAGCCTTGAGCTGAAGAGCTGAGGGACAGTGCCCAGGCCCAGAGTTCAGGACCCACAATGGACCAAAAAAAAAAAAAAGAAATGCTAGGAGACAATATGATCGTTGGCTGTTATTTGCATATATAGTGAATCTATTTACTGGGCTTGAAAATTGGAAGCATATATATAACCAATGAATAATATTTTCATAACACATTTACTAATAAGATCTTTACAGCCCTGTAATTTACTGAGACTTGAAAATAATTTTATGGGCTTCTGCATAAAAACTATGTTTTTCTTCCTATACAAAGGTACCTCTTGTTCATATGCTTTCTGAAATGTGATGGAATGTTAGGGCCTTTGGAAAGATATTTTGCAGTCAGGCACATCTGATGTTTGTGGAAATGGATCAATTGCCATTTGTTTTTGCTTTTTCCAAGATAGTAACATGTCAGTATTGATAAAATGTGTGAAGTGAGATTAAGTAAGTTCTGAGACCAAAATTATTCCTTCACTTTTTCATTAATCTTGGAATTATTAAGAGGTTATGTTGCTTATATTTTTGGTGGACTAATTGGGTTTTTGACCCTAGGAAGACATATACATATAAACATATATAAAGATCCTACTGTTTTTGGTACTAGAGGAAGGGGACTGGAAAAAATGTTGGTTGTAGTGTCTTATACTTGTACTGGAAAATATGTTTTCATTGAAAAATAGAAATCTTTGAAGTTTTCTTGTTAGTCATGCCTCTATGTATTCATTATTCCTATCCCAAACCACTTCAACTCTTGGCCCAGAAACTACTTAATCTAACAAACAGTCATGGCACCTGGCCTGAAAAATAAAAAGTAATTATTTTTCCATAAAGTGTTTTAGTGGCTTTTGTGGTCTGAAAATCATATTTAGGTTGAAAATGTATAGTGAGTACATTTGAGTAATTTTTTTTCCCTCTGTATCCTGCGGCTTGAACTCAAGGCCTGGGTGCTATCCCCGAGCCTCTTTGTGCTCAAGGCTAGCTCTACCACTTCAGCCACACCGCCACATCTGGATTTTTCTGAGCAGTTTATTGGAAATAAGAGTCTCACAGACTCTTCTCAGATCTGTCTCCCAAGAAACTAGGATTACAGGCGTGAGCCACCAGCGCCTGGCAAGTTTGTTTGTTTGTTTGTTGTTTATCTATAAGCTTTAGAGGTATTCTTTTTCTTCCATGTTTGCCACAAAGTAGAGTAGTTTGCTTTGCATTCTGGTAGAAAAGCTTAAGGTTTGGGAATGGGGTAGGGTGAGGGTTTTCATACATGTCTAAAGCTACTTATTTGGAACTGCAGCTAAATCTCTGGATTTATGATGTTGAGAAAAATCACCAATAACAGGAGCAATATTATGAAATAATATTGGAGACTTGTAGTCATGCTTTAAGAGAATATGTAACACATTTTCTTTTTAAATTATCCATACATTTATTTCTTTTTCTTCTTAACAGGTAATATAATATTACAAAGCAAGATGGGCAATATCACCATAGGTATGTGCTAAGATGTCAGCTGGTAAATTTTTGCCTACTTCTTATTTTTGTGCCAGTACTAGGGCTTGAACTCAGGGCCTTATGTTCTCACTTGACTTTTTGATTCAAAGCTACTTGTGCCACACCTCCACTTTCTACTTTTTGCTGGTCAGTTGAAGATAAGAATCTTACCTAATTTTATCCTGGGTTGGCTTCAAACCAGTATCCTCTTGAGTAGCTAGAAATATAGTTGTGAGCCACCAGCATCTGTCTTTTCATTTCCTTCAGATTTATACCCAGAAGTATAGCCAATATAGTGTAGTACAGGCTACCTTACATCTATATGTAGAATAAATTACATAATATAATGTTAGGATTTGCTTTATCTTGTCATATCTATTTTATAGAATTTGATGAGAAGAAAATAGTTTTTATACTTGTATTTACTATTAGATTATTAACTATTTCCAGTGCTTTTCACTCCCTAAGAGATACTGGATTTATAATTTGTATATATGTATATATTATATACAAGCCAAGTATCTGTTATCCAAAGTACTTGGGATTAGAAGTGCTTCAGATTTTGTGATCTCTTGGGGATGAGCCCTGAATATAACCATGAAATTTGTTTGTTCCATGCACACCTCACACACATAGTATATGCAGTATCTTTGGTGTATCTGCAGTTTGATAACATCCCATCACATGAGATCAGATGTGGAATTTTCCACTCACATGGGCACTCAAAAAGTTTCAAATTTGGAAATATTTTGGATTTTCAGGTTTGGGATGCGCAACCTATAATAGCTATCTTCTGGAACAGGGGCCATCCTTTGATACAAATGAGTAAGCAGGAGAAAGCAGAGCTGACTGGCAATAATTGTGGGAAGGCTTGCTAAGAGCTCCTTGCCTAGCTTTACTTTCTCTGTCTTCTCAAAGACATTATCAGAAGCTATATATAACAGCTTTAATTTCATCTTTCTCTTTTATCTTTATACGTCTTTAAAAAGTATATATGTACATTTCTATACATATATGTATATAGATATACATGTAAAGATGTGTGTGATATGTATATATACATACAAACATGTATGTATATATGTGTGTATACATATATAAAGATGTATGTATATGTGTATGTATAGTATATACATATATACTTTTAAAGATATAGTGTATATATATATATGCTTTTTAAAGCTATAATTGAACAGTGTATAGCTATATAGTGTATATACATATGTGTATATACATATATATATATATATATGTATAGATAGTATGTGTGTTGTATGCCTTTTAGAAGCCCCATCTCTTCTTTGTTTCTTTCCTAATACAGAATGCCTAGAGAGCATTAATTTAGAAAACTTGAAGTGACCTTAATATTCTACCTTTCAAATCTTTATATACGGGCTGGGAAGGTGGCTTAGTGGTAGAGTGCTTGCCTTGCATGCATGAGGCCCTGGGTTTGATTCCTCAGCACTGCATAAACAGAAAAGGCCAGAAGTGGCGCTGTGGCTCAAGTGGTAGAGCACTAGCCTTGAGCTGAAGAGGTGAGGGACAGTGCCCAGGCCCAGAGTTCAGGCCCCACGACTGACAAAAACAAATCAAATCTTTATATCCTATATATAAAATTTGTTGTAGGCAGACACTGGGAGGATTATTGTTCAAGGCCAGCATGAACAGAAAGTTTATGATAACCTATCTCCACTAATAGAATAGCTTGGCACAGTGGGGCATGTTTGTCTTTCCAGCTACTCAGGAAGCTAAGATTGGGAAGATCAAAGTTCAAGGCCAGCCTGGACCAAAAAGTTCATGAGCCTTCATGCATGTACTGGCATGTATCTGTCATCCCAGCCATAGAAGAACTGTAAATATGAAGACCATATAGTCTAGGCCAACTTGAGAAAAAAGCAAGATCCATCTCAACAATATCCAGTGCAAAAGGGCTGGAGGCCGCTCAATGGTAGAACATCTGCCTGCAAGTACAAAGCTCGGAGTTCAAACCCCACTGCCATTCCCCCACAAAAATACTCTTCCCTGCTATTACAGTTAGTGAAGCTTCCCAAGAAAGTAGAGGGGGTTGCTCTTATTTTATATTTTGAAACTTTTAGGGTTAAAACTAGGAATATTAACTCTTTAAACATGCCTGGCCATTTTTAAGAATATTCTCCATTTATCTAAAGGAAAACCACAAAATTTAAAAATTTAGCCTTTCAAGCGTAGTTATTTTTCTTTAGTTAACAGAAGTATATATTGTAAATACCTCTTTGTTAAGTTGATGGTTGACATAGTCGCCTTTTTCATTTAATTTTCCAAGAAAACTCAGTAGTCTGTCATTCTAGAAAGATTTTGTCCAGAATTATAATATTAGACAATTCTCTGCTGGAATATACTTTTCCTACCAGCATCTTAAGCCTTTTCCTAAGATCCAAAGAATTTTACTACAATGTAGATTTCCAGAAAAAAAAGAAATTAATAATTTGCCTTACAGAAAACAAGAAAACTAGGATTTGTTTTGCTGAATAGTTTCCAATGTTACTTCTTATTTTTCTTTATGTTGGGTTTTAATTTTTTAATACCCTATAACATCATGAGCCATTATCAGAGCTCAAAACTGATGATATAAAGATGTCATTACTTTGTGGCTTAGGATGTAATTATTTAGCTGTTCATTTTTCATGGCAGGGGAGGGAGGAAGCAAGATCAAACTAATATTTAAATCTTTTACTTTGTTCAACTTAGAATAATACATGTGCATATTATATAGTCAACATATTTTTTAACCATAATGTAAAAAAAAAAATCTTGCCTTCTTCTGGGATGTAGCAGGAGGGTTTAAAAGAAATTTTTAGGACCCAAAAGCAAAATAGTCAAATTTTTCCAGCTATTTTATACTATTTACCTATTGGCTTGATTCCCCAACATTGGTATTTCCATTTCGCACTTGAAAACTAAATAAATTGGATCTGAAAAAGGGCAATTTTGGTAGATTGGAGACAAATTATTATAAATGATTGTGGTGCAAGACTTGGTGTAGTTTATGCCAACATTTCTGTCTTTGGAGTCATTTAAAATTGTGTGTGTTTTAGTACCAGGGCTTGAACTCAGAGTCTGGGGTGCTCACTTGGCTTTGTTCACAGCTGGCCCTGTACCACTTGAGCCATACCTTCAGCTCTGCTTTTTGCTGTTTTTTGATAGTATCTTGAAGTTTTCTGCCCATGCTAGCTCCAAACTACAGTCCTCCAGGTCTCAGCCTCCTGAGTAGCTAAAATTACAGACATATAAAATTTGTTTTAAAATGTTATCTTTGTGAGCTTTACAGTATTCTCTCTCCACATTTAGAAAATATTTTTCACAAAATTTTCACTGCACCTCTGTGCCTACTTGGAAATAATAAAAGCTATTGTTAAAATATGCTTTTTATAGATAATTACTGTGGCCTTATTAGGATATTTAGATATTATATAACCTACATTCAGTTGCTATGGAGATGGGAAAACTAATCAATTAGCACTGACTCTTCAGGTCATTCTCTAACTTCCTTAACTCTGTCAGTTTTCCCTTGAACTAGAATGTCGGCTGGCTGAAAACTGGGGTCAATGACAGCATAGAGAAATTTGAGTGTCAAGTAAGGATTATGATTTTCTTGCTCTGCTTTAAAAATATCTATTCAATTCCAGAAACTTGGAAAGGAATACTAGATGAAAACAAGCTTCACCCTTCCCATGATGCCTCCCCAAATCTCTATCACTCTGAGAATAATCTTTACTCTTAGGAACACTTTCTAGTAGTAGCCAGTTTGCCAAATGGAGAAATTGTGAGACATTCTCATGTCACTTTGTTTTTGCTTTTGCATAGATAGATAGATAGATAGATAGATAGATAGATAGATAGATAGATAGATAGATAGATAGATAGATAGATAGACAGACAGACAGACAGACAGACAGACAGATATAGATATACAGCATATGAGGTTGACATGAGGCTGACTTCTTTGTAAATACTGGACATTTACTAAATTTGTCAATATAATAGTAAATGAAATATAGCAATAATGCTTAAGGGTCTTGGCCGTCTAAGATCTGTTGCCTGCATACTGTCTGTCCTTCCAGGTAATTAGGTTTTAGAGAAGTTATTGTGAAAATTTTTTTATTAATTGTCTAAGTGTAGGTTTCTAGATTTCTTTTCATTTTAATGACATTGATAGCACTAAGTGTGAGAAAATACAAAAGAAAGATTGTGAGGAAATACCAAAAATGAGGAAATAAAAAATACTGTGAGGAAACACCAAAAAAAAAAAAGAAGAAGAAAAATACCTTGAAAGACTCTTAAGTTTCTTATCCTGATGTAGAGTGAGCCTTTCGTTGCAAGCTTATAATTCCTTTTCTCATGTAAAAATAATTATACTTGTTTTCTTTCCTTCTTCCCAGATTCTTCCTGTGGATGTCTAAAAGCCACCACTCAGCAGGGCACCATAGATGTTTATGTCAGCCAGCTGGGGAAAGTGGAATTGAAATCACACAAAGGTGAGCCAACATGTGAAATAAGGAAGATTTTCTATAACACTCAGGAAACAGATGGTCGTATTACCCATACTGACATAGTAATTCCTTCAAACAACTTTCTTCTGGTAGAACCTCATTTAAAGACTGGTCTCCTAGCTCTCTAGATGAATAATCTTTACAACTTTTGGGGCCGATGACCACAAAGATGATCTTTCCCTTTGTAGTATAAACAAAAATGTTGTACTATTTAAACTGTCTGTTGTAGCAGATTTTTAATGTTACTCTGTGGGTATTTCAGATGTTATATCTGAAATATTCTTTGGAGGGAAAATGTTTCCATAAGTTGGAACTTTCCTACCAGCCTATAAGAGGACCTCCTCAGAATATCACTGTGAGTAATAATTGTCTGTTGTAATGTGTGATCCTAACATACAGGTGACATCACAAAGGTCCCCTAAAGCAATTGTTGACTTCATCTCTTGAAATATTATGACATGTCTCTCCTTTAAATTTCATTTCCCATACAAATAATTTATTCTGAGTCCAAACATTTTATTTAAAATGGCATACTTCTTATTCATCTGAAAGCTAAGTTTATGTGTATTTGTGTGTGCATGAACACATGTGTTCATGGTGACAAGTGAGTTGGGTAGAGTAGTTGGGAGGGCTGACATGGCCTGAGTACACAACGTGAAGAACTATAGTTCTCTATAAAACAATTCAAAAACAAAGTCTTAAAAATAAAATCTAGAAGTTCTTGCATATTGGCCAGAACAAGAAAAGTGTTTCCTTGCAGAGACTGATTGTTCTTGCTATTAAAAATGTCTTTGCCACATAATAGTTTTTCATCACTAAGTTTTCCTGTGAAGAGTGTCAAGGCACACCTACAGAGCCTTGAGGTCAGAAACACTCAGGTGTGACTTTCCCAGGATGCCCTCCCCTCTTTTATTAACAACAGAGTATTCTCATACCTTCACTAAACTACTAATTCAGGGTAAATTGTAAATGCCATGTAAGTCATATACTCTCACTCTCTTATGGAGAAAAACTATAAACCATTAAAGTACCTACGAATAATAACAAAACAAAGCTTTGAATAAGCAGCTCTTAGGAGACAGTTATGGGCAAAAAAAAAGGAAACAAAAACTTTAAAAAAATTTTGAAGACTTTTTATCTACTTAAAATATTTTCAAGTATTGGTTGAATGTTGTTCCCACAACCTGTTGAAATAACACATGAAAGCTGGGTATCAGTGGCTCACGCCTGTAATCCTAGCTACTCAGGGGGCTGAGATCTGAGGATTGTGGTTCAAAGCCAGCTTGGGCAGGAAACTCCGTGAAACTTCCTTCTTTTTTTTCTTTTCTTTTTTTTTTTTTCATGAGACTTGTTTCTAATAAACCACTCAGAAAACTGGAAATGGTGCTGTGGCTCAAGTGGTAGAGCGTTCACCTTAAGCTGAAGAGCTAAGGAATAGTGTCCAGGCCCAGAGTTCAAGCCCCATGACCGACCAAAAAAAATAACATATGATGATTCAAAGTTTAATTACAATTACAGTTTTGTGTTTTCTTTACTGGTCTCATGTTACTCCCAGAACCAGCACAAAAAAGAAAAAAAAAAAAAAAGATTGGTCTGAGAAGGTGGCTCAGTGGTAGAGCGCTTGCCTTGCATACATGAAGCCCTGGGTTCGATTCCTCAGCACCACATACGCAGAAAAAGCCAGAGTGGCACTGTGACTTAAGTGGTAGAGTGCTAGCCTTGAACTGAAGAGCTGAGGGACAGTGCCCAGGCCCAGAGTTCAGGCCCCACAACTGGCAAAAAAAAAAAAAAAAATTTAGGATCATGTTGATGTTGTTCATTTAGGAACATTCTCACTTTTGAGACATTTAAACATAACAAGTCCATGATTTTGTTTTTAAAATTCTAGGTGGAAGTAGAAATGTGGTATGTGATTCAAGTGGTAGAGCTCTAGCCTTGAGGAAAAAGCCTAGTGAGCCCTTATTAGTTCAACCCCAGTACTAGCATGTGCACACACACATGTAAATATATTTGATAGTAAAACACATCTTTATTCATTTTGAAATTTTAAAGGGCTGTTTTTGTTTTGTTTCTTCCCAAAGCTCTCCTATCTGCTATATGGGGATTCTCTTGCACTGTTTTCATGGGAACCCTGGAAAGCAAGTCACATTTTAATGAATAAGATACAGTGGTGTGCTGTTACTTACTGATTTTGAGGAATCAGTATGAACGTTTATCAGTTTACTCCAGATTTATGTATGCAGTAAGAAAGACTGAGAAGATGAAATGACTTAAGGTGACTAAGGCTTATATTAAGCAGACTAGAAGGAAAATTATGACTCATGAATAAATGGGTTCCAAAAGGAATATTCCCATCATTTGTAATCAACATCATCCTGGCTATCTTTGTCAAAAGATGGGGTTAATGCTTTTTGATAGGGGGTTCTTCACTCCCTTTATTTGATGAGAAACAGATAGATCCTAATGAAATAGGACTGTGCTGCTAAATCTTTCCTGCAACCTACATAATTGTTTGGACACATGATTCCACAGCTAACAGAGTACTTTATTCTACTTATTCCTTTAGAAGTCTGAATTACAACCAGATTGTGCTGGAAAGAAAGTTAAATGTTTTGCCTTAGCTACTCAAAAACCTATAATCCCTTCAAAGGAAACTTTAGGCAGTTGGAATTTGAATAATCCTTTTAATTTTTTGTTATTTTTCCCCTTTCACATAGTAGGTAATACTGAAGGTATAAGAGCTCAGGATGCTAGTTGATTATAATGATCAGTGAAGTCACAAGTCTTATAATGTGATCAGATAGTAGTGTGGGAAATACCTTGGCATTGGAAGTATGGGCTTTGTGCTCATTGAGCTAGACCCGCATTCTGATCTTAGCTGTCATAGCCCCTGGAACAAGTTCTTATGTGTATAATTTGAATAATAATAATACCTTATTAAGTGGCCAGCTTTTAGTAAGTGCTCAATTAATAGTATGTCTTGCCTGGATACTTCCTGTGTAGTATTCTTTTGTGATACTGATGAACTGGATAGGATTGGCAGAAGTCCTACTTTGAAGAAGTTACTGTGAATGCCTTGAGAGTAAGCAAACTTTGACTATCTGGAAGTAAGAAAAGATACCGATGTTTAAATAACTGCTAAAGAATTAAGAACAGAAAACCAGAAGCAGTGCCTCAGTTTTCAGTCCAAGTGATAATACAGATATGATGCTTTGATTTTCTTTTGCATTAATAAATTCTCCTTTAAATTTATCACAGGCTCTGTTACTGTCAAGGTCCCATCTTCTCTTCAAACCTACTTACAGTTATCAGGAAAAGAGGTTGATGTGAACCCAGAGGTCAATGTTCAGGAAATGGCTAAAGATCATAAAGACGATGGTATAATAATTACTGGTAAGGAGACTGCATTTTACCTTATGAGGATCACTACTGTCCATTTATAAGTAGAAATGTGGTGTAGTTCACTGCAGTTTTAGTCCTTTTGCTCTTTTTATTGTCACATTTAGTGTTGGTGATTAGCATAGCATGATACAGCTTGAAAAGACATTCACAGGTTACTTTAGAGCACTCTTTATACTGCTAGCTTAGGTACTGATTTGAAACATTGCCTGGAATGGCTGCTTTCTAATTCTTGGGCTTAAAAACCAACACACAATGCAAAATTAAAGATAACTTTACATAACTTTAAATAGGAAATTGATGTTTGCTATTTTAGTACAGCAAACTCTCTGTCCAAAAATATTCATGTTTATGGGGCTGGGAAGGTGGCTCAGTGGTAGAATGCTTGCCTTGCATGCCTGAGGCCCTGGGTTCGATTCCTCAGCACCACATAAGCAGAAAAAAAGCTGGAAGTGGCGCTGTGGCTAGCCTTGAGCTGAAAAGCTGAGGGACAGTGCCCAGGCTGAGAGTTCAGGCCCCACTATCGACAAAAAATAATAATAATAATAATAAAAATATTCACATATATTTCATTACATCCAGCTACACAGATTGCTATACTATTTTTTCTTATAGATACATTGTTTTGATAAGTACTATAATAAACACTGGTGGATTTTTCTATTAAATTTCAGTGAATGGCATCAAGGAAAACATTGAAATTACTTGGTTAGGAAGCTGTTTATTACTTCATAGTTATTATGAAGCTGCTTAAACTGTGTTGTTATATCTTGCTGGTTCTGACCAACAGATTCTAGGGCGCTGGCTAAAGAAATGTTCATGCGGTGATCTATCATACTATCTCAATATTAAATAATATTCCAACACCATCTGGAGTGAAGAATGGGTTTATTGACAAGCATGGTTATTCTGCAGATTTCGTTCCCAACCTCTGCTTTTATAGTCTAATATTGGCCCAGGGTTTTCTTTTTTTAATTTAATTTTATTTGTGAACATACTACAGAGGGGTTACAATTACATGGGCAGGATAATGCGTATATTTCTTACCAAGCATTGCAGCCTCCTCCTTTGTTTATCCTTCACATCCCTTCCCAGCCTCCCCCCTCCCCCCCAGTCCCAATCCTCCCCCCCCCCCACCAACATTGTAAAGCTCGTTTTCGACATGACAACTTGTACTTCTCATTGTTGCAACAGGTCCACCTGTATCCTTAAACAACTGGTTTTTCCCCATCTCCTCCACAAGTTATACTGACATCAAATATAGTGAAAGCAGGGGTTATACTGTGGGGGAGGGACATACAAAGCAACAAAGAGATAATCTTATAAATGCGTTAGAAACACATGCATGAAAGAAAATAGGTCCCATGGTTTCCCTTATTTGCAATATCTAGTATATGTATGAGTCAAGCGGAAAAGGTCAGATAATGTGATGTCAGGAAAATGAACCCTTGGCCCAGGGTTTTCTTAAGAGATACATTCTCAAAGGTTGATAACAAGAAATTAGAAATATGAAGATAAGTACATTCAGGGATACATTCCTGTCTTTTGACAGGATTACTGCAGAAGGTCAAACAAGACAACCAGGGCACTACACAACCAGTGTTTTCCACTGGTATCATTCAAATACCAGACAACTCTGCAGTCAATCACAGTCTCAATAGTGCTCTAGGATTTACACAATGTCTTGTGCTTGGACCCCTACTTCTAAACCAGGAAGGACCAAATTATAGAAGAGGCCTCTGGTACTCAACAGTGTAAGAATCAAGGTTCTAATTGGGCATGGTACTGCATGTCTAGGATCCCAGATACATGGGAGCCAGAGATAGGATGATCACAGCTCAGGCAAGCCCAGAATACTAGGAACACTGAGATGGGAGGATCACAGTCCAAGTGTGGCCTGGACAAAAGCAGGAAGCCCTTTTTTTTTTTTGTCAGTCATGGGGCTTGAGCGCTGGACCTGGGTGCTGTTCCTCAGCTCTTCAGCCAAGGCCAGCGCTCTACTGCTTGAGCCACAGCACCACTTCCGGTTTTCTAGTGGTTTATTGGAGATGAGTCTCACGGACTTGCCTGCCCGGGCTGGCTTTGAACCATGATCCTCATATCTCAGCCTCCTGTGTAGCTAGGATTACAGGTGTGAGCCACTGGTGCTCGGCTTGAATCATGAACCTCATATCTCAGCCTTCTGAGTAGCTAGGATTACAAGCATGAGCCACCAGCGCCCAGCAGAAACCCTATCTTAAAAACAAACCAAAACTAAAAGGACTGGTGGTGGGGAGTGGGGAGAGACATGGCTCAAGTAAACATAATACCTGGAGTTCAATTCCCAGTTCTACCAAAAAGAAGGGGGGTGGAAGATATTGATTAGCAGAGTCCTATTCAGTACCAGAGGGTACTCTGCACAGTTGGACCCCTGGTAGATATGGAGGTCATCTCTGAGACATGTATTAGAGGGTTAGTGTGGAGGGTGCTCAGGTAAAGAGGCAGCAGTCTTTCTTGAAGAGAGAAACTCATTGTTTTGTTTAATCTTTAAACTATTTGGTCCCCCAAAAGCCTCAGACTTTTATCATGTAGATGAAATTATTGAAGTGACTCAGGAAATCAGAGCAGATTGGTCCCCCCCCCCCGCCCCAGGGAGATTTCCACTCTGAAACTTAATTTTAGAAATAATGAGCAGCTTTATATGTGAGTTGTTATTATAAGCAGATGAGCTCAGCCCATCTGGGCCTTACTCAGAGAGCTTTTGAGGCATAGCAGCAGAAATACTCCTCTCTGTGCTAAGAGGTCTGTATATTATCTGTAACAGGACTTCTACTGGGTAATTTCAAGAAGCCATGCCAGTAAAATTTAGTCCTGTGGGCTCAGGCTTCCCACAGGATTTTTATGTGTCACCCTGTAATTTTATTTGATTTCCAGCTCCATGGTTTCCCTTGCTGTTGCTGTCACTGATAAATAACTCTCAGCTGTATAATTCTTACAATGATTTGTGACTATAATGTGCTGTTCCGAAGTCAAAAGAAAGCCCAAGACTTCTCAGGCTAAGATATTTACCTACTAAAATACTCAAAATTATGCATAACATGTATTCTTTCGGGAGTGTGTTCTCTGATTTTTTTTTCCAGTACTACCACTTAAGCCACACACTAGTCCTTTTGCTTTCTATTTAGTTTGCTTTGAAGACAAAAATCTCATGATATGCTTGGTAGGCTTCAGGCAGACCCTGATCTCCCTATTTTCACCTCCAGGGCAGCTGGAAGCATACCCAGCTTGTTTTTGAAATAAGGTCTCCCTAACTTTTTCCCAAGCTGGCCTTAAAATGTAATCCTTTCTGAGTAACTGGAATTACAACTGTACACACTACATACATCTGGCTATGTTATCTTAATTTTTAATGAGAACTTTCCGTTTTGTGTTCTATCCATATGTGGGACATGTAATGGTCTGTGAATGGTTTAGGTAACATTTGTAGTAAGTTGATTTCTCTATTGGATTTTATTGGTTCATTAATTTAACTATGAAATTTGATTATCAATCTTCAGCAGAAATGCATATGGTACAAAGTCTTTGTCAACTTCACAATTTACATATTCAAAGCATATTAGAGTTATTCTGCTAAAGGGCTGGTGTTTGTCCCTATAAATTTAGAAGGGAAGCTGGCACAATTGAGTTCACTTATTTGTAGTCTATTTGAAAATATACAGCATATATAATCATCTGTTTTTCCATCAAACTAAAACAGCAAGTTAGAAATCTCAGCTTATCTTTGGACCAAATATATATAAATTATATATAATACTTGATGATTTATGTTTTGTAGTTTATAATGGGAAGTTGGTTTATGGGTGGAGAAAAGAAAGTGGGGCAAGCTTATGGGATGCTATTTTTTAAATCTAGAGATAGTGCTTTCTCTCCAAATGAGAAAAAAAGTAGTCTTGATATGGCTTTTAGAAATAATGCTATTTTTTAAGACCACCTTGGAGTTTTGCTTTTATCTAAGCTTGTTGCACATTTATCAGCTAGGTAGATATGCTCAGGAATGAGGTTTTGCTTCTGTTCATCTTCAGGCTTTCTATGTAATGGCCACTCATGTTTATATGACATTCTTGAAAAGACAGAAAAACAGTGAAGTCCTCCTAGCAAGATGAAGTTAAATAGACTAAGTAACCTTCCAAGCAGAAACAAATGACCCCAGTTTGAGGGCCTTATGCTTGTGTTCTACCACTTGAGCCACATCCCCAGTCCTTTTCTTTTTGTTTTTCCGATAGGTCTAATCCTCTGCCTCCCGAGGTATTTAGGGTTGCCAAAATGTACCACCAAGCCACCTTTTATAAAAAACAAGAAAAACAAAACAATTTTCAATACATCAAACAATGAAAGAAAATGGTCACTGAGGAATGAAAAACAAATGAGAAGAGGTCTGAGGTCTGCTGATAGTATCCCTGCAGTTTAGCACAACTAATTCACATCTCTGCCTTGATGGGCGTCAACATAGTACTATTGAGAATAGGAGGAATTACTACAGAGCCTGGCAGATTCCTTGAGATGAGTCTACAGAGACAAAAACACCTAGAGTTTGGTAGGACAAAGTGCTAGAGAGACTAGAGTGCCATGCTCACAAAGATCTAGGAATAATGCCTATTCCACCCACCAGACTGGAAACAAAAGTTCTAACTCATGGGGCTTTGAGTAGAACACTTTGGTAGTAGGAAACAAATTGCCTTAAACTGGTCACTAACAAAAGTGGCTAACAAATAATAAAATCTAGAGATGACATACTTACACTTTCTAAGTAACTTAACTGCATCCTTGATATGCTCAAGATTTATGAGAATACAGAACTATTTAGGACTAAAATCACAATGTCTAGTATCCTGTCAGAGATAGTCCAAGAAAAAAAATAAAATATGATCTATAATGAAAGCAGTAATCAACTGAAACCAACCAAGAACTCACACAGATGTTAGAATTAGCAGAGAAGGAAAATAAAATAGTTATAACTATATTCCATGTATTCTAAAAGTTAAGACATAAGAAATGCTTTTTAAAAAAACAAATTGCATTTTTTTTAGAAATGAAAGTTGTAATAGGTGAGTTGGAAAAAAATAGATAGCAGTAGACATTGCTGATGAAAAGATCTGAAGAAGGGTCTGTAAGATTATTTCTAAGGCAAAAGTTACTAATTAAATTCTTGCTCAAAACATGATTGCTATTAACTTTGTTATTAGTATTCCAGGTATTTGAGGAGAAACTTAATGGATACCAAAACTAACTATATTTTCTGTCAGTAAAAACTTGCTGTGAAAATACCTTGAGTTGTGCCGGGCATCAGTGGCTCACGCCTGTAATCCTAGCTACTCAGGAGGCTGAGATCTGAGGATCACAGTTCAAAGCCAGCCTGGGCAGGAAAGTCCATGAGACTCCTATACCACTAGACAACCATAAGTAGTGCTGTGGCTCAAGTGATAGAGCGCTTGCCTTGAGCTGAAGAGTGCAAGGACAGTGTCCAGGCCCAGAGTTCAAACCCCACATCCGACAAGGAAAAAAAAAAAAGACAGAAGGAAGGAAGGAAGGAAAGAAAGGAAAGAGAGAGAGAGAAAGAAAATGTCTTGAGTTGTGATTTTGTTGAAATATTGAAAGTAGTTAATAATGAAAAATTGCTTTATTTATACTTTGGAGTAGAAATGGATATGGTGTTAGAGATTTTGTTTGTAAAGTGTATGTGTTAATAAACATTGAGTAATTCTTTTCATGTTTGTTCATAAGTGTATGATTTATTTTTCTAGTCAGCTGCTAAGGTTTGTGAGGGAACCTCCCTGAAATACTTAGTATGTGCTTCTAATTGTTCAGGGTTGGTGATATTTCTAATGTGAGGAGGAACCCTGCAATCCTGAGGCTCCAAAGTGTAATAATCCAGACTGCGAATAAAGTAGCAATAGAAGTTTTCTCTGTATCGCTGTATATTAACAAAGACTCTTTCAGGGTTAGGAGTGGGAGCAGGGAGGGAAGCAGGAAGAAGCTCACTTTATAGTCCATTTTTAAACAAGAGAATTAAATTCTGAAAATTTCTCCCCAGAGTTTTCTTTGCACTAGCTAATGCTAATTATACAGGTGTGTTTAGGGCTAAGCAGACAGAACTTGGAGTCTGTATTTGGGTAGATCTGAAAGTGCAAAGCTGAAAGCTCATCTTTTCACACTTAGGCCTTTGGGGGACATTCCAGGTCCACCCTGTAGCAGGAGGAAAAGATTACCGAGGGAGACACAGAAACTTTGGGGTGATGTGATCACTGTCTTCATGAAGAAATGGTTTCACTGATTTTAATATATATCAAAATTTGTAACATTGTATACTTCAAATACATGCTTATTTTGTCAACTATACTTCAATAAAGCTGTCTCAAGAAATAAAGCAAATGTTAAAATCAAATAACAACAACAAAACCAGAAAGTTTTCCTTCCAGAGCTGTAACAAGTGACAGGAGATGAGGGAGCTCATAGAACCTCTTAGCAGCTCTTTCCCAAGTCTTTACTGTCTTCACTAAGAGGTTTTGGCATTCTAAGGTATTTGTAGGCTTTTGAAATGTATTGCTAAGATCTGTATGTCCAGTCAGATATAATTTTATGCCATTTTTATATTCCAGGACACATAATCAAGCAAAGAGACATGAAAATTGGATTAATGCTACTGCCCCAGAAGGCATTGTATGTTTTAGAAATCAAAGCTGGTTTCAGTCCCTAAAACTGCAGAACTGAAGAGTTCGAATAGTTATTTATGTTATTAAACAGTAGCAGACTTGTGATGATGATACGGCAAATATTTATGTTCATATGAATCTTGAAAATAAAGCAGCATTGGGAACAAATACTGGTGAAATGTGTAGGAAGCCTCTTCAAAGTGTGTGTTTAGCTACTGTATTTTCTATTGCTCTGTAACAAATGATAGTACTCCCTCCACTTGTTCTCAGGGGAGGTGCTGAGACAACTCCCCTCCCAATGGATGCCTGCAGCCACCCAGTTCCAAACCCTGTATCGGGAATATGTTTTCCTTGTAAATATGTACACAAATTTAATGCATTTTCCATAATAATTAAGCACTTGTGCACTGTGGCTATAAGCTTAGAATATCAGTTACCACGGCAAAATGAACATGACTTTTTCCTTCTTCACAATTCACAGATAAAACATTACTTCTTACTGTAGATCTTTGCAATCTCTGCATACATTTATTTATTTGCTTCTATTTTCTTTCTTTTTCACTCAGAAGACATCCTTTATATGGCTTCTCTTTGGCATATCCAGATTGCTAGTATCACTAATCTTGGACCCTGCAGCCAGTACTCCTAAACAGGAGTACTCTGATGACACTAACAGCTACCCTAGAAACCAAGATGGCTGTCAGGTGACTAACAGGCAGGCAGTACGTACCACATGGATGCTCCGGAGAAGGCATGATTCACATCTTGACTGGGACAGCACAGTATTCCATCACGATCCTCAGAATGACACACAGTTTGAAACATATGAAATACTTATTTCTGGAATTTATCAACTGTAGGTAAGGAACTGAAGCCATAAAAAGCAAGACCTCAAATTAAAGGAGACAACATGGGCTGGGAAGGTGGCTCAGTGGTAGAGAGCTGGCCTTGCATGCATGAGGCCCTGGGTTCAATTCCTCAGCACCACATAAGCAAAAAGAAAAAAGCTGGAAGTGGCATTGTGGCTCAAGTGGTAGAGCACTAGCCTTGAGCTGAAGAGCTGAGGGACAGCGCCCAGGCCCAGAGTTCAGGCCCCATGACCAGGCCGAAAAATAAATAAATAAAAAGAGACACAAAATTAACAGCTTAAAATAATACAATCTCATGCTGGGTAGTTCAGGAGCCCAGCTTAGCTGAATTTTCTGCTTAGGTTATGACAAAGCTGGAATCCAGGTGTTGACCAGGCTGAGTTCCTCCAGAGGTGCTAGGGAGAAATCTACTTCCAAGTTTATTTAGACTGCAGCTAAAGTCCAGTTCCTTATATCTGTATGACAGACATCCATTTTCTTGCTGTCAGCTCACAATCACGCAAATCTAGAGTCAAGCCATCTCCATTTTATGCAGCGCCTTCTATCTGCAGGCCAGCAGTGATATGCTGAGCCTTTTTCATGCACTGAACATCTGACTTCTTTGAACACTGGAGAAAACTCTGCTTTTAAAGGCCTCACTTAATAGATAATCCATTGCTATTTTCCCATCTGTAATGTGGCCATCAGAGTGGTATCTCATCCCCTTCACAGTTCCCACTTAAGAAGAGATTATACAAAAGCATTAGTCACAGAGGGCAGCTATCTTAGAATTCTTGCTATTGTAGCTCTTCATGTGACAGGTGTTCTACCCAGTTCTTATGGCATCACTATAAATTTAAGTTGTGAATGTTATAAATGTGAAGCAGGTGCTACTCTTCTTAACTGTCTTTTATATGATCTAAGATTATTCCTCACTAGAGGAAGGAAGCATTCAGTTATTTATTGCCTGATGCATGAAGATTTTCCTTTTTACAGTCACATACTATATAGTGCTATTTTATAAATTCTTTCAAACTTTGTCCACTTCTGACACTTACACAATAGAGATATTTATTGAATTATATTTTATGATTAAGCCTGTTCTAAAGTATTTTAATAAACTTTTCCAAATATTGTGATTTATGATAGTCTCATGTTTTTAATTGCTGTCCAGTTCTGCCTTTAATTTCTTATTTGTAAAACAAAAAGTAAGCCTTGTAGGATGCCTCAATGTTCTCTCATTAAATCTTCATGAAATCAGAAATTGCCCAGCTGAGAGATATGCATATTTGATATGGTTATGGTATTGAAGTAAGACGAGGTTCAAACAATATACCTTGATATTAGAGGACATTGTTTTACAATGTCTTGAGTTTGTTGAGTTCCAGAGAAGCCTCACTTTCCTTAGATAATTGGTCCTTGGTTTCCCTTGATTGTGTCCACATTTGATTTGTTTTTGCTTATATTTAACACCTTTATTAGGTTTAAGTGTCCTCATCTGGTTTGCTTTGCTTTTGCTACTTTGATTTGGGCAAATTCCATAAACCTGATGTGGTTTGGGGGCTCTATAAGTTTTGTGTTAGCTGCATTTGGGGCTGCTGGTCTTTGCGACAAAAGCCCACCAGCAGTCCACAGATTCTCCAATAAAGACTTGTAATTTGGATGTTTAAGCCATGGCTTCTCAGTTTCTCGTGTCCCCTACAACAGTATGTGTTAAAGAGAGGAAACTGAGGCAGACAAATTTTATAGGTTTTTTTTCACTCTCATGCAATGATATGAAAATTTTCATTACTAAAAGTTGATGAAACTACCCAACCATAGGCAGATAGGTCACTTCAGTATGTTTAAAGTTATAATGAACTTCCTACAATCTTCACTACTCAGGAGGCTGAGATCTGAGGATCGCTGTTCAAAGCCAGCCTACACGGGGAAGTCTGTGCAACTCTAACCTTCAGTTAATTAGCAAAAAGCCAGAAGAGGAACTATGGCTCAAGTGGTATAGTGTTAAACTTGAGCAAAAAAAAAAAAAAAAAAAAGCTCATGGACAGCATCCAGACCCAGAGTTCAAGCCTCAGAACAGACACAATACTTAATTTGAGTTTTGCATTCAGCTGTTTTGCATAGCTTACTTTTTCTAACACCTACCTATCACTTTGTTCCTTTTCTGTACCTCTAATTATTTCTGAAGAATGAATGAATGAGCCTGTTCTTGTGTAAAGGAGTTGTTAAAAAAATCATTTTGGCCGGGCGCTGGTGGCTCACGCCTGTAATCCTAGCTACTCAGGAGGCTGAGATCTGAGCATCACGGTTCAAAGCCAGCCCGGGCAGGAAAGACTGTGAGACTCCTATCTCCAATAAACCACCAGAAAACCGGAAGTGGCGCTGTAGCTCAAGTGGTAGAGCACTTGCCTTAAGCTGAAGAGCTGAGGGACAGCACCCAGGCCCAGAGTTCAAGCCCCACGACCGCCCAAAAAAAAAAAAAAATCATTTTGAGCAAGCTCTGTGCGTAAGATGTCAAGCAACCTTCTGAAGTTCTTGAGCACGTTTTTCCTTAGCCTGGTCTTCCGCATATAGGGGTTATTCCTTTAGGAAGCAGCTTCCTTTGTAAGTCTCTCCTATATGTGTGTGAGACACTGGTGGTTAGGCTTCTGAAGCCAACTTCTGTGTAGCAGTCAGAAATCTCAGCTTTAGTTAAAAACCTCACTTTTACTCAAGTCCTGCTAAGTCTTCTGGCTCAGATCTTAACACTTTCTGCTTGGCTCATTCCCTTGTCAGCTCCCAAGAACCTTTCCACCACATATTTCAAAGATTATTAAAATAGACAGCTCTTTTAAAACTTTTCAATGTAACTTTTATGTCCTTTTCCCTGTTTTTATTTCAAACTTGTGATGTACAATAAATAACACTGATTAACCCCAAGTAAGAGACAAGTAACTAAGGAAATAGAATAGTGTTTGAATATCACTGACATAGCTTGTGTGTGGCAGTCAGAACAGAACTCTGATTTCTCAAGGGTGCTATCAAACTCCATGTCATATCAAAAATGCATAAATGAGCTCCCCTCACCCTCTGGGGAGGGGCGGAGGCTGAGATCTGAGGTTTGTAATTCTAAGCAAGCAGCGGCAGGAAAATCAATGATTTTCTCCAAGTCAACTCTTATTTCCAATTAAGCACCAAAAAAGCCAAAAGTGGACTGGTGGCTCGAGTAGTAGAATGCTGCTTGGAGCAAAAAGAGATCAGGAACAGTGCCCATGCCTTGAGTTCAAGCACATGCATTTGAACACATATACATGCGCGCGCACACACACACACACACACACACACACACACACACACACACACACACAATCTAGATATGAAACTAACAGCTCATACCTCCTAGCATCTTTTTTGGGGGTGGGGATTGGAGGTTAAAAATTCCTCCCATTGATCAAAGTGCATTGTATTTTAAATTGCTTTCTTATATGGCAACTGCTTTGTACAACTAAAACATAATTTAAAACCAGGCACTGGTGGCTTACGCCTGTAATCCTACCTACTTAGCAGGCTGACATCTAAGGATATTGGTTTGAAGCCAGCCTGGGCAGGAAAGTCCATGAAACTCTTATCTCTAATTAACCACCAGAAAACTGGAAGTGGAGCTGTGATTCAAAGCAAAAAAAAAAAAAAAAAAAATCTCAGGGACAGCACTCAGGCTCTGAGTTAAAGCCTCACAATGAACAAAAAAAAAATAATTTAAAATGTTCACTATGTCTTTTATAATAAAACCTCACACATCCTTAAAGTTGTGGCTCAAACTTTGACTTTGACTTATGTGACCATCTTTGCTTTCTTTTCTTATCCAGAGGGAAACAAATTCCTTGTCAAAAAAAAGAGTCACATCTCGGGATTGTTTCCTCTAATTATAACCTTAGATTTGATCATTTTATCACAACTAATGTTGGTTAAGTTTAGGGATCATAATCACTGAGTCAGAATTAATTATGTGTATAGAGATATTAGTATTTGAAAGAGAACAGCAAATGATTTGCTGCTTGTTTATATTAAGATCAGGCCAGTAAAATCAAATGAAGAAAAGTTGCCAAGTTCTAGTTTTCTGCTTGAGTCTGAAGGTCAAATAGTTCATCTTCACTGCTGTATAAGTCTTTCATTTTCACTTCAGAGTGGCCCTTAAATGGTAGGTTACTATGATGGCCTGTAAGAAGTTTGCCATTGCTGTCATAGCCAAACCAATGTGGAGGGTCATTAGAGCTGTATTCCTGCTGCTGAACTTTAGAGGACATTCTTTGAGCTTCCCTCCTGGAATAACAATGGTTAGAATTAGCTAGTGGCAAAAGTAATCCCTAATACACATTTTTTTTAAGTAGACGGAATTTTTAGAGAACCACCTGCTAAAGATGGGCTGATCATGCACTGAGGCAGGTCTTATTATCAGAGATGAACTTAAGGGAGATCCATAAACTGCAGAAAGCCCATGAAGCTTTGTCAGGAGGATGTTTGTGATTCTTAAGAAGTTCATGACTGAACAGTAAAAAATACTGTCCTGGTCTTAGGAGGAAATAGAAGGGAAGCATAGAAGGCATCAGAAAGAAGCATGTCTACCTTGAAAAGAAAGCCATTTTGAAGTCAGAAAGGCTTTCCTGGGAAGTTGGTTTGAACCACAAGACCAGTACTAAAAAAAGAAATGAATATTTGGCTTTTTCTGTTGGATTGAGTATGATATTTACTCAAGAAGGAGCTACCTGCTCAACTACTGAGACTGTAAGTTACACTGATTATTAATTGTAAAGAGATTGACCCAGCCAGGCCCTGGTGGCTCACACCTGTAATCCTAGCTACTCAAGAGGCTGAGATCTGAGGATTGTGCTTCAAAGCCAGTATGGGCAGGAAAGTCTGTGAGTCTCTTATCTCCAATAAACCACTAGAAAACTGGAAGTGGTGCTATGGCTCAAGTGGTAGAGCACTAGCCTTGAGCTGAAGAGTTGAGGGATAGTGCCCAGGCCCAGAGTTCAAGCACCACCATGAAAGAAAGGAAGAAAGAAGAAATAAAGAAGAAAGAAAGAAAAAGAAAGGAAGGAAGTAAAAAGAAAGGAAGGAAGGAAGAAGGAAAGAAAAAAAGAAAAAAAATTGACCCAATTGATGTGGAACAGGCCTTAAAACATACTTGGAGTTAAGCTTGTGCTACATGGACATAGGAGTTCAGGTAGGACAATGAAACTAGAAGAGGCGGTACTGGTTTTAAATGCTATTTAATTCTAAATTAGGCTCTAAAGAAAAATAAACAAAGCACTGTAAATCTTGTTAGGGCTATTAATGTGAGATTCCAAAGAAAGAGACACAAAGGAACAAAATATGCCCTTAAGTAACTTATTAACTTCTTTAAAAAGTAAAATAAATTCTAAGTGACTCTTTTGTCTTATTTATATGTGCTCATATGAAACATGGAAACTTAAATAATAATTTGAATAAGACTAATTTCTAGTTCTGAGTCTCTAATGCCTATGTCTAAAACTTGGTAAACAAGTATCCTCTTTTAGAGAAATACTTATTCTCAAAATGTTTACTTTAGTTAGGCAAAGAAATGCAATAACCTTCTTAACTCTGATTACTACAGCTTATTACCAAGCCCAAGCCACATACTATGTTTTCTTGGAAAATAGTCCTTGAGGTATTTCCTATTCAGCTGCATACTTACATGGAGATGTGACTACAGTATTTCATCTTAAGGATCCGGAGTTGATTGCAGCCTATCTGAAGATCCTGAAGGGTTTGGTCAGTAAGTAGGACACAACCAGAGATATCCAAAATGTGCAGGTAATAGCATTTTGCCGATAACATCTCTATCCCTGCGTCAGTAATCTGAACACACAGCCAAAGGAAGTACTGGTTATTCAGACAATTCTATCCCACTGAAGAACAATAACTTAGTTGTCTTAGACTGCTATGATAAAAATATAGTACAGGCCAGGTGCTGGTGGCTCATGTCTGTAATCCTAGCTACTCAGGAGGCTGAGACCTGAGGATCACGGTTCAAAGCCAGCCTGGGCAGGAAAGTCCATGAGACTCTAATCTCCAATGAACCACTAGAAAATCAGAAGTGGCACTGTGGCTCAAATGGTAGAGCCCGCACCTTGAGCTGAAGAGCACAGGGACAGCACCCAAGCCCAGAGTTCAAGCCCCATGACTGACCAAATATATATATATATATATATATATATATATATATATATATATACACATATATATAATACATTAAATGACTTAAACAGTAAACATTGATTTCTCACAGCTGTAAAGCCTGGGAGATGCACAATTAAGGTCAAAATCAAAATCAAGGTGAGAATCCTCATTTTCAGGTGTCTGCCTCTTGCCATACTCTCCCATGGCAGGGAGAGGTACATCTAGTCTCTTTCTCTTCTTAAAAGGATAGAACCCCATCTGAGGGCTCCATTCTCAAGGCCTCTGCTAAACTTATTTACTGCTCACTTCCTCATACTGTCACATGGGAAATTAGGGTTTCAACATATGGATTTGTGAGGAATCTAAGCATAAACATAACAGAATCAGAAAACTTGCAGATTTTCTTTCACTTAGTTTATTACAAAGTGGACCAAATTACTGGCTTAACTTGATTTCCAAACAAGATCAGATCGGTAAAAATATCTTCCTCATGTGGTTCCAGTAGAATATGTTTTCATTTAAGAGTCTCAAGTTTGAATGGGAAACATAACCAAATTTCCTTTACTAATACCTGTCACATCAATATGGCAACTTACAAAATATGCTATGGAGAAGTAAATTACCTTTAAACGTAAAATCTACTCTGAGGTTTCATCAGTTTTGAAATAAGTTTAAGGACATGATGTATACTAAAAATATACATCCCTTAAGGACCAAAACATACATCCCAACAGGACCAGACTACTTTAAGAAAGGTCTAGGCATCTCTGGTGGGTTGTGTGTAAGAGGTAGAATCATATAGTTGAGAGGACAAGGAAGTCAGTCAGATGTCTGGAGGCAGGAGAAGAAAGATGAGCAGAAGCCAGAAAGACTATCAAGGTTCTGCTCAGAGAAATTCTGCCAAATATATCCCAACATCTTGCAAGTTTGCCAGATGTCCTAGAGGTAATTCAACTCCATTTCTTAGTTTATTTCACTTACTTGAGGTGTAGCTTCTGAATTTATTGCTGAACTAGGACTTGCTATAGAATAGATTACTTTCCCCAAAAGAATTTTCCTTCCAACTGGATTTAATTTCTTATTTTACATTTGAACATTGAACAAACCATATACCACACGATTTGGCTCTTTTATTTTTAACATAAAGTTAAGAGACTTATGCAGGAAAGACCTTTGGCTTTAAATGTACACTTTATAAGTTTGGGAAAATGGATGCTGTCATTGTCTAAGCATTCCATGTTTCCTAATGCTCAGAACCAAGGTTTAGTACTGCAACTGATTCTCACAAAAATGTCTTCAGACATTCCTGCCATACTATATGGGTCTCTGAGAATCTGATGTCATTGAGAAAAGATTAAAAAAAGTATTGTTGCGGAAAGGAAGGACAGTGGGAGTGGCGTGAAAGTGGAGGGCAGGTGGAGTTCACAGTGGGTGAAGGGAGCCCATTTTCTGCAGATGGAAGCTCCCTATTGATGTTTTAGGGATTTATGAACTAAGAGCCAGGAACTGGAAGTAGAGATGACTGGCTGAATTTCTGTCTGGTCCTGTTGGAAAACAAATCTTACAGGATGTATATTTTGTAGGTTCCCAAGGTCCTGGTTCTAAGGTCAGCTCCTTGAGCAGAAGCAATTGTTACTCCCAATACAATTCCCATTGATTCTCTGGGATGGGTTTTGGTTTTGGTTTCTTCTTTTTTGAGATAGGGTCTTGCTATGTAACCCAGACTGGCCTCAAACTTGTTATCCTCCTACCTCAGCCTCTCAAGTTCTGGGATTAGAGGTGTGTACCACTGTCTATATCTTAAATGAAGTTATTTCCTATTTAGAAATAGCATAAGCACATTACTAAAAAATTAATGAAAACTTGCAAAGTGGAAACAATTTCAAATCTATCACCGTAATATAACTACAATGTTAACTTTATTTTTAACTTATTTCTTCATTTTCTCTTTCTTCCTTCCTTCTTTGGTGGCACTATGGGTTGAACTCAGAGTCTTGTGCTTGTTAGGCAGGTGCTCCTAATGTTTAGCCATTCTTCCAATACCCTAATACCCTCCCCCCTTTTATGTGTGAATTGAATAGTGTTGAATTAGAGTCCCATTTATGCCCTGGCAGGCCTGGTGCTACAGTTCCCTTCTAGTGCTTCCCCATGGTGGAGAAGATGGGTGCTCTTCCCCCAGCCATTGTGCTTGGTGCTTCCCCTGCAGCTGGGCTAACCGACAGGGGTGTGCCACAGTGCCCAGTCATTGATTGAGATGGAGTTTCACAAACTTTCATGTCAGAGTATGCTTTGGATGGTCATCTCCGTATTCTCCACTTCTGGGGAACCAGGATTACAGGCACAGTATCACAGTCCTAGGCCTCTAGTTTTTCTTTATCAAGTTTCAGGGAATTTTAAAAGATAATCAACTTACTAAAAATCACAAGCACCATTTACCCCACCACTCATACCTTGCCTTTCTGGAATGTGTTCCCGTCCTGTGAAGAAGCTCAGCTAGCCTAATGGAGGTGAGACAGGTCTAGCTCTACAGAGCCCATAAATGGCTACATAGACAACCTTGGGACCACACGAGAACAACCACACAACTGACTCCCAAGATTTGTGAGGAAATAAAATGGTGGTTGTTTTAAGCCACCGAGCTTTGGGTGACTGTTAGCACAGCAGAGAAGTGACAAATTAGCCATGTGTCAGTGGTCAACCCTTTCTAATAGGTGGTAAAATATCCACTGACCATTTCTTTTTCTTTTAACCATTATGAAATCTCTAACTGATTTTCCTTGTGGCCATTTTGAAGCCTGCAAATGGAAACAATGTCTAAAGGTTAGCCAGCTACAAAAAAATTAATTAAAATTGAAAAAAATATTCAGAAGGGTAGCCTTGTCCTTGAATAGTCCTTCTAGATTATTTAGCAAATCCCTTCCTCCTCCCTTTATACTGCAAGTATTGCCAGTAACACTGTCTTTTGTTCAGTATCCTATTTCTTTTTTCAGGATTCCAAATTTCCCCTCCTGTAAAATGAAAGTCATTAAAAGTAAACAAACAAAAAGCCTTGTCCTCTCTTCTCCCTGTTATCAGAGAACTCTCCAGGAGACACGGCTGATAACAAGCATTTGGGGTACAATGCTTCATCATGTTAGCCTGCAAGAAGTCCTGTTGTGCGAATCCAGGCCAGGCTGGGTGAGCTGGCTCAGTCTCTTCCTTAGATATATTTCACCTGCAGGACAGACTAAAAATCACAAGCACATTCTGAGCTGGAGGGACTGGCTAGAACAGCCCCGGCTCTTCTCCAGATCCCTGTAAACAAGATGTCCTTCTGTGCTTTAACTCTGAGGCATTCTGTCCCAGGGTATCAAGCCCAGGGTGGGCTGCTTTTGAGTCCTTTAGCTACAGTGCAAGGGAAGCATGCATTCAAGACCTCATCTACCCATGGCAGCTTTCCTAAGACTTTGGGGGACTGGCTCTCTGTGAGTTCTGAGCTTCTGTTCTGATTGCCTGTCTCTAAATTTTCACTTTGTTTCAGGTCTCCAGACTCAGACACAATGAACCCGCTACACATTGCCTCTGCCTCTCTGACAGGCAGAGATGCAACTCCAAAGTCCTCACCTGTTTTATATTCTCTTTCTCTCTAAAGGGTGGATATGAGAGAAATATTTTGCTATTGATGTCCAAGGATTTATTCTTTCTTTTTCCCAACTATTATTTCATTCTATCTCCTACTTCGAATCAATGTCACAAGGATCAAAGGTAAGAGCAGGGCCTAGTATACTGCTAAGGTCTTTGAAGTTGGCCTCACAATCCAGGTCCCCATCCTCTTTGAGCCACATCTGCTTTATTTGATATTTTAGGACTGGCTAAGATGAGATTTTACTATTACTTAATGGCTAGAGTTGAGGTAGCTGCAGGGAAAACCTGACCAAGAAGCAAATATTCATTTGAAAAAAAAAATCTCCTGTGGGCTTTTGGGAAGCCTGGCATAGAACGGTGAGCCAGGCGCTAGGATTTTTCTGGCAGAGTGGATCCAGTTGTAAAGTGCATGCTTAGCAAGTGCAAGGCTCTGAGTTCAGACTCCAGAATCACTGAAAAATCAGCCCCTGCCCCCAGCACTCTATAATACTTGGAGGTTGTCTCTAGTCTGCTAAATTTGTCCCTCTATTTTCAAGCGTCAAAAATTTTGTCAATCTTGATCCTCTTCCTGTTTTTCTTATCACATGAGTCCTTATAACTTCATCTTCAGTCTTGGTAGGGTTTCAAGAGAGAAACCTTCCCTATTAACCCAAATCCCAAGATTTTTATTTCTTCACATAGAGATATGCTTATATTATGTTCAAAGAAAAAGTAGGTTATATTGTATTTTGGAAAGAATGATTTTTTTGTCAGTATAAGGTTTGAACCCAGGGTTTTAAACTTGCTTGGGAGTTAGCTCTACCATGTAAGTTATACCCCAACCTATTCCTTTTGTTTTTGAGACAGGGTCAGTTTTGTAGTTCAGGTTGGCCTCCAATTGACTATCCTCTTGTCCCAGCCTTCTAAGAACTAGGATTACAGGTATGTGCCACTACATCCAATAATTGTATTTTTTAAAGCGACATGCAAAACCCTCTGCAATCACTTCTTACTTCTTTGTGTGTAGGGAAATATTCTAGAAGAATAAGAATAAAATGCCAACAAATACTTATGCTTGGGTGGTGTTTGGCAATGGACTATTACTTTCCCCTTTAAGCTTTTATATGAGTCAAATTATTTTACAATAAGTATGCATTATACATACAAATAAGAAAATCATCAAACACTCAAAACTAGGATACAGATAATTGCGTAAACTTTGAATATCATATCGGGGCACCATTTATTTGACTCATCTAAGGAAATGTACAGGGAGTTATACCCTTGTTTCACATACTATTCACTGTTGATTAAGGCCCAAATTGAACTATTGTTAATAAACTGTTGATTAAAGCTATCACATGTTAATATAGTTTTGTCTAGGAAAAAAACTAAATTATTTCTATCTTGTAGAAACTGTAATACGAAGGTTATGGTTGTGCTCTAACTTGAAAATCATAATCCAACATTCATTTTTCAATTCTTTTTTTGTTGTTGTTGTTGGTTGTGGGGCTCGAACTCTGGGCCTGAGCACAGTCCCTCAGCTCTACAGCCCAAGGCGAGCACTCTACCACTTGAGCTACAGCGCCACTTCTGGTTTTCTGGTGGTTCTTTGGAGCTAAGAGTTTCATGGACTTTCCTGCCTGGGCTGGCTTTGAACCGCAATCTTCAGATCTCAGCCTCCTAAGTAGCTAGGATTACAGGCATGAGCCACGGGCGCCTGGCTTCATTCTTCAATTCTTATACATACCAAATGCTCTATGGACTGCTGTTTTATTTTGTTGGTTTTCTGACTACTAAATTAAATAAATCATTGACACATGTTTATATTGTTTGAGAATTGTATTTTAAACTTAAAAAAATTCTACTGTGACACTAATGAAATGCTAAAGCCATTTCTAATTTGGGGATACAGGAAAAATCTAATCCCTCAGCCATAGCAAAGAAAACAAGTTCTATAATGAATTTAGCCTCTGATTGCTGCCCAGTCAGGATTCTTTTGCAGTGCTTTCCTTTGCCATGTCTGAGCCCTGTCTGTGCAGCATACCTTTGGACAGCCTGCAATGCTGAGAGAAGTGAGCTGAGGACAGTAAATGGCCACTGTTTTCATAATGTTATCTGTCAGCTGGGTACAATGAGAGACATCCAGGTATTCCAAGAATGGTACATTTTTACAGAATCCCTGAAAGAAATTCCAAGATCAGAGAGTTTTCATGACTTTTCTTTAGTCTTTATTCAAATACAACATACATCTAGAGCCCTTCTACTGATGACGCTTTACTTAGAATATATTTTAGTCCCAGAAATATAGATGGCAATAAAACACTATATCTAAAATCTCTTTCTGGAAAGCAGTATGGAGGGTCCTCAAAAGACTACACATAGAGCTTCCCTATGACCCAGCGATCTCACCTCTGGGCATTTACCCAAATGATTACAAATAAGGCCATACTAAAGCTACCAGCACAACCACGTTTATGGCAGCATTATTCACCATAGCTAAGATATCGAACCAAACCAGATGCCCCTCAGTAGATGAATGAATCAAGAAAATATGGTGTATATATATTCTATGCTTCCATCAGAAAGAATGACACTGCCCCATTTGTAAGGAAATGAAAAGACATGGAAAAAATCATATTAAGTGAAGTAAGCCAAACCCAGAGAAACATAGGTCCTATGGTTTCCCTTATTTGTAATAATTAGTATATGTCTAGGATAATCTTAGCAGATGAGCAGAATAGCTCAATAGTTATATGTACATATGACCATATAAGATGATGCTAAACAAAATGAACTCCAAAGCATGGACACAAGATGTTTTTCTTTGTTGTTGTTTTTAATGTACTATTTGACTTTTTTTGTTTCTTTTGTATGCTCTTCTCCCTATGGTATATCCCCTGTTGTCACTGTGCTTGATTTTGTTATCCTGGTATTGCATATATATTTATTTGAATTAGGGAAGGAGAACAACAGAATGGTAAGACAAAGGCAGGAACTAACGCAACAGCAATATACACACAAGATAATATGTTGGAAATGATCTGTACAACTTGCAGGGGGGTTAGGGGAAGGGAAAATAGGAGAAAAAGGAGGTAAGAGGTAACAAGATTGACAAGAAATATACTCATTACCTTACTCATGTAACTGTAACCCCTCTGTACATCACCTTGACAATAAAAAAATGATAAAAAATAAAATCTCTTTCTAGCAAAAGTCATTTACACATCAGTTTAACAGCTTAGTGATATTTAAATTCCTGCTAAAATTCCAATGAAATCTGGCTAAAATGTCAGTAATTGTTAGAGTCATGAATGGTGGGAAAGAAGTATAAATATGAGAATAGCTGGCCAAGCACTCTGGAATTTATTTATAGATAAAGCAAATTCTTTTAAGTTTTCATTTCTACCATTTACTGCTTCTAAACTTTAGCAAAACAACTTTTCTAAGCCTCAGTTTCCTTTCCTACTTAGGAGAAATAATATCTACTCTCTAGTATTATTTTAAGATGCCAAAACATTCATCTAAAATTTTTAAGGTTAGAAAAAAGGTCTAAAGTCATTAAGAATTTTCCCCTTTATCTCAGGATTTCTAAATCTTATTCCCACTTTTCATTTAAGAAAAAAAAAAAGAAAGAATTGCTGTGTGCCGGTGGCTCACGCCTTTAATCCTAGCTACTCAGGAGGCTGAGATCTGAGGATCACGGTGGTTCAAAGACAGCCCAGGCAAGAAAGTCCATGAGACTCTTCAATAAACTACCAGAAAACCGGAAGTGGCACTGTGGCTCAAGTGGTAGAGCGCTCACCTTCAACTGAAGAGCTGAGGGACAGCGCCCAGGCCCAGAGTTCAAGCCCCATGACAAAAAAAAAAAAAAAAAGAATTGAGTAATAAAAAGAAAGCTAAAAGTTTACATCTCAGCAGTTATATAAGAACAAAATGATCCAGTAAAGTATGAAGCATATAAGTAATTGTGAAAGTATGTTAACTTATTAAGATGAATTAAAATACTTGAAAACAAGCACCAACTCAAGGTAATACCAAAGTCTATGATCTAATGCTATCTACACACTCATTTGCTTCAGAGGTAATTCTTCACTGTGAAGCAGCCCAGGTTCTTGGGATACTGAATTAGATACTCTAGTATGTAACAATTCACCACTAATTTTTGCTGTAAGTGCTAGATTTTAGAAACCCTAGTATGTTGGTGAGAATTCCTTATTCATATGTAAAAATGGATATCTATGAGATAATATCATTTTCTTTTCATGACTAGAGTCACCAGGTTGACTAAACCACCAGTGGGTTTTTCTCCCACTGCTTATACATTTTCTCTTGTTTTACCAGTAAGTAAGACTGGAAAGAACTTTTTAGCAAGTAGATAAAAGATGGCACATTTCCAGTAGAAGCAGTTAGTAAAGCAGATACGACTAGAATTATGTCATCATGTAAAGAGGCCAGAGCTTGGCTCTGTCTCTGGGGTGACTGAATTTCTGCAGGCCACAGGATCTCATTAGTTAAAGTAGTATTCACGTCCATATCAAAAGGTTGCTGTCTAGATTCTATGAAATAATACATACACTTGATATTTGTTCCTAACATAAAATAGATTCTATAGAACTCTATATTATTTTCTACTGGACACAGTATTATTTTAGAGAAATAAGTATTAACTATTATTGAGATCTCTGTATGACTCCAACAGTAACTATAAAAACTTGTTCTTACAGAAAAACAAATGTTTTTCGTTAATTAGCCACAAGTCCTCTTCTTTTTCTGACCACAACAGCCCACTGTGATTATGCTTTCCCTCTGATCTCATACAGATCTTGTCTTTTTCAACTGATTCAGCACTTACTTACTTAACTCATTCCTGCAGTGTGACTTTGTATAGAAATCTGTCTTGCCTGACAACAAAATGGTGTCAAGAGATTGGTCCCTGCCATTGGAGCTCAACAAGCATAACGGGCACCAGCGTGGTACAGACTTTAGATCACTTTTAGATCACTGGAATCAATGGCTTTGAGTCCCAGCTCAGATTCATTATGCAAAAGTCTCTTGTGGTATTGTCTGGAACTCTGATAGCTTGGATTGTGATTGGAAGCACATTATTTGGAACATAGCAAAGGTTCAATAAATACTAGGTAGTTTGCTAATTCCTATAGAAGTATCCTCCAGAAAACTAAGAGTCTATATTACTAACACAAGAATTTTGTTATAAACAGTAGGATATTATTATTTTCTGCCCAGAAGTTTAAGGAATCTTTCTTCTTCCCAGTGCCAGTTGGATATTTATAACATCATTTGAGGGCCTTAAAAAAATCATCAATATAGGCAGACGGCTGTGGGCAGCTGACAAGAAGCATACTAGAAGCACACATCTGCCCCATCATGTACCCAATGATTTCACAGGTCTTGTATGGTTCACATTCCCCACTCCCGATAGAGTCTGAGGAGACAGAACTCAAGAAAGAATATTTAGACTTTGAAAATAATGTATTGGAAGATGGCCAGCCTTAAAGGGGGATTCATGCTCTCCAGAGTTGGAAAACTCTCTTAAACAGAATCTGTCAATGTCTTCGGATTGCTTGAATCACTACAGTTCTGCTTTAGGACTTTTAAAAAGCTCTGTTATTCTTTCAAGCTGAATTTCTCAGCAGTTTTAGTTAGGTTTATTTTGTGGCACTGGGTGTGTGTGTGGAGCGGGGTCGGGGTGGGGGGACTCAGGGCTTTGTGTTTGCCAGGCAGTGCTTCACCATGTCTCCAGTCCTCTGTGCTTAAGTTATTTTTGGTATAGTGTCTTACATTTTTGCCATAAACTCAATCCTCCTATTTCATGGTATAGCTGGAGTGACAGGCTCATGTTACCGTACTCATCTTATTAGCTGAGATGTGGGGGAGAGGGGAGTGAGGGTTTCTCACAAAGGTTTTTGCCCAAGCTGACCTCAAACTTCAAACTTCCCAATCTTCGCTCTCCACATAGGTAGGATCAAAGGAATGCATCAACACACCTAAAATACATAATTTCTTTAAGAATTGTAATATTTGTTTCTGATGTATATATGATAGCATTCTTCTTCATGGAAAATGTGAGGCACAAAAAAACTGGACTAAGGTTTAGGCTACATGACAGACAAATATTGGGAGCTGAGGTCAGAACTTTTCCTCGTACAACTCATATTTTCCTCTAGAGATGTTTAAGTCATATTAAGTACTTAAGTTTGCAGGCATGTCTCAACATAATCACTTATGAAATCCTATCTTTCCCCTGACAGATAAAATAATATGCATTTATGGTTCCAGTTCTGCAGAATCCCTCATTTATCAACACCACTGCTTTTGTCTTCTGGGAAAATGCTTCACTAAGCTTCTTCCACGTCAGTGTTTTACAGTGAAGACAGAGAGAAAATGCAAGAATTATCCAATTTGGGTTCCTTCAATGTATCAGCCAACTTTGCTGTTGGGTTAATACAGAAAAATTTCACGTCATTGAGTAAAACACTTTGTCTCCCAAGTTGAGTTTTACTGTGGAATATTAAATGACTGCTTTCTGACATTGGGTATACAGAAGAGACTGAAATTCACTCACATTTGCTGATCATCACAGTACAGTACTTCTGATTTAAACTATCTTGACAGGTGGCCACTCCTAGTCTTGAGAAAGCTGTCCATACGCATGACAGCATCTCTTGACTCCTTGCCTAACTGAGGCAAAGTTGTTTTTTGATACTTCTAGAAAAATATTGTGCTCTCAAGAATCCATTTCTATAAGGAAGACTATTTTGGGTTGCCTCAAAGGCTAAAAATGCATGTCACAATTTTAACTCAAAAGCTAAGCACAAAATTCTAGTTTCTTGGACTTCATATGACCATGAGCTATAAAAGTACTCTACCAAACATGGCCTTGCTCCCACCAGGCATCAGAGCAGGTGGAACAAACTGGAGAGTCTGAGAGTCAGATCTCATTTGAAAACAACTGTATTTCCACTCTCCCTGCCCAGAAGCCTTCTAGGCTGAGCAAGGCTTAGCTAATGCCCAATCTCAGAGATGTACCCTACTTTTTAATATGAAAAGAATTTTCAAAGGGAAAAGGAGTCAAGGCCCATGCAAATATCCTCAAAGATACTCAGAGTAAATTTTTTTTTCAGAATGATATGGCGATTTGGGGAGAAGTTTGGGCTTCAA